TAACGATATACATCGCCTCGGTCCCGTACGCACACATCCCCCCACAAGTTCCTCTTCCATCTATGTGCGCTAGAAGAGATGGAAGGCCTTCTACCGTATAAAAAACAGCCACTGCAAGAGAAAGGAGACTTCCGTCGGAGTATTGATCTGACAACAACTCCACTGGCCCTAGGGCATTGACTGAAGGCCAACAGTTTCTGCTAGAGTATTGTTCTAGTGGCAGTTCTGTACCCAGTCTTGGAGTATTGATCTGAGACATACCTATTCTCTCTTGTGTCCAAGTACTGATTGGGTCAGTCCGTTCCTCGCCGGGCTGAGTGTTGATTGGCCCGTTCCATCACTATTCCTTCGAGTCGTTCCCTACCGTCTGTGTGTATTAACGCACCATAATTGCTATTAAAGCCTGCTGTCTAAAAGAGCTACCCGTTATACCATAAGGGGTAGTTTCTACACCTACAAAATAATAAGCATATATCGGCATAGGGTCGACTTTGAATTAGGAGGTAAGTAGAGCTTATTCCCAAAATGTCATCAAAATGGATGCATTAGGATAGAAATCGGAGGCAATATCCTATTTTTGCTTTCATTGATTAAACTAAATTTAAAAAATATATATAAAAAGATCTTAAATACGACTATTTACAAAGGAAATAACAAAACGTATTTAATATACCTATTTTAGTAGCTTAATAATTGTTTTTCCTTAACATAGAAAGATTTTAGTATAATAATAAAGCAATTTGAAAGAGAATTTATAATTTTTTCATTAAAAATATGATATAAAAAAAAGAATTTTATATAGAAATTACTGTTTTGCTATTTATTTCACATTTATTACCAAAATGACATTACCTGTCATAGTTTACAATTAAATGTGCTTTTGTAGTTTTCTCAAGAAACTTCCAATTTCATAATTTTCCTACAAATCAATTACTTTTAATGCTAAATCCGAATCTATCATCAGTTTATCTGAATCTAAAAGGAAACTAAATTCCTGTAGTTGGCTGTATACCATGTATCACAAAAACTTTTCATCAGAACTGATGATAGAATAGTTATTCCGATAAAGTTCTGTGATGTAGCCCAATAGGGTTTTTTATTAATATACCTTTTACAAAGAAATTTTTTATCTGAATCTATTGTAGTTCGACTGCTATAATCCTCTGACTGACGGACATAGACAATTGATGTTAGGTGCAGAAATTTACCCAAAATAAAAAAAATCTGTATAGAATGTGGTTGCTCTATATGCGATTATTAACGGACCACGGTGTCTATATGCGTATATATCTTAATATTAAATCCTTTCAACAGGAGAATAACACAGGAACAAACGTAACAAATAAACAGCATCAGCAGCTGATACTGAGACTCAGTACGAGAAAAAGGAGGGTAGATATCGTCGAAAACCTACAGCAGAAAATGTGTATTTTATATTGTTCTTTAAAGAATGATAATTTGACACTTATAAGGTATAATTTCTCGAATAACTAGATTATTTTTTAATTACAAATATATTTTCGTTATAAAAACAAAAAGTTTTATAAAAAACATGTGCGTTGATAAGTATGAGAGTCTAAATCAACCAAACCTGTCTCTATTTAAGGTGAAGCTTAGGAGTTATAGGAAGGTACTATGTTTAAGCTTATGTTATAATGTCCATTACTATGCATCAAATGACTTTGTCATTACCTCTGTATTACAACTCAATTAAAATTTTTATTTAGGCTGAAACGAACCCAGTTTTTTAGGTATTCTTCAAAATGTACATAATTTTGCTGGCACGTTAGATATTTACACATTTTTCTAATTACAGTGTCTTGATAAAGGAATTAAACAATTCCGAAAGCTAGACCAAAAGTCAAAAGAGTGTTTCTGTAACATACCGGCCAAACTTCTGACTGCAGCCCCATATAATTATATACTATATATATATATATATATATTATATATATATAATAATATATATATATATATATATTAATATATATATATATATATACTTTATTACTAGCGGACCAGATAAGCGGCGATATATTTTACACTACCTCTTTGAATAACATTTTACTGCTCTGTTGTTTCAATCAGCACTGCTCACAAGTTATCGTTTCTTGGTTTATAATTTTATTGCAATGTTAATTTTTTTTAATTTCTTCTGACGTATCGTATAATGTAGGTTTACCCAATAATCAAAGTTATGCATTTACAAAAACATATTATTTGAAAAATAAATAGTAAATACCATGTGTCATAATAATTGTAATCTCAGGAAAAAAGACAGTTAAGATTTTATACACACTTAAAAATTTGTTTACTAATGTATTTCTTAAATCCACATAATCATTGAAAAATGATTCATGCTGTTTAAAATATCTTTCTGTTAACGACAAAGTAGATCAAATTCAAACGTCATCATATTTCTCTTTTGTTTATCGTTAAAAATTAATTGATGGTCGTGGGTTGTATTTTTGTGTTTTAATAATTTAACAAAATACATAATCAGCAAAAACCTTATTTAAAACATGCGAACGGTTTTTGCAATCACAATCAATACAGTGTTTATGTTGGTTTAGCATTGGCTGTTAAATAACTTGTGTTCGATTGTTTTTAGTCCTTAAACCCTCGTCCTTTTTAGGGTGTAGTAGTTGTATATAAGTACCTATTTTTTATAGTAGTGTAGTGAAGTGGTACTTTAAAACAAAATGAGTAATTTGGAAGAAAATAAAATACAGTCGAAACGTAGAGTGTTATCTCCAGAAGAACGGCGTTTAGTTCTAAAAGTCGAAAGTTATTTCAATTTAGAAAAAAATAATATGGGTCCAATGACATCTGTTATGGCAGTTCAGAAACGCACATGCGATGCTTGCGGTATCTCAGATAGAACATTCCGAAGAATTAATAACATGAGTGAGGATGAAATAAATAAAGTAAGCAAGAGAAATCGTCGACATCCAAAAACTTTAGATTTGCACCAGTCAATTAAACTTGCAATTAAAAATATTATATATATATTATGTATAAAGAAAAAGAACATGTAACAGTTAGTGCTGTGTTGCAAAAAATAAAAGACAAGGAACTGTGTGATATTAGTTTAACAAGTTTGTGGAGAGTGTTGAAACATTTAGGTTTTCGATATAAAAAGACAAATAATAGACAAGTATTGTGTGAACTCTCTAATGTTGTTTCAAAACGGTGGCATTTTTTAAGAAAATACATGAACAATAAAATGTCTGATAGTCCGAGGCAAGTTGTATTTTTAGACGAAACTTGGATTTTCGCTAAAGGAAATATGTCAAAATCATCTTGGCAAGATGGCACCACGAAATGCTATTCTTCTAGTCGTTCCGGTAATGGTAAACGCTACATTATACTTCATGCTGGAAACAATGAGGGTTTTATTCCTGACGCTAGTTTAATTTTTTCGTCCACAAAGAATACAGGTGATTACCATGGAAATATGGATGCAAATATTTTTGAAGAATGGTTTGAAGAAAATTTGTTAAAAAAATTGGAGCGACCATCCATAATAGTCTTAGATAATGCATCCTACCACTCAAGAGTAGAAGAGAGATTTCCTTCAAATAGCTGGACAAAAGAGAAATAAAGTTGTGGTTGACAGAAAAGAAAATTTATCACAGTGACATATTTTTAAAAGTCGATTTACTTCAAAGGTGTGGAGAGCACAAAATTCAAAAGAACTTTGTTACTGACCAAATGGCTCTTAAATATGGCCATGAAGTTCTTCGACTTCCGCCCTACCATTGCCACTATAATGCAATTGAGTTAGTTTGGGGTATAGCCAAAAATTTTTATGATAAACATGCATCCAAAACAAAAGATGACGCTAGCGTTCTTGGTTTATGGAAAGAATCGCTAGAACAAATAAAGGCAGAACAATGGCAAAATTGTATTAGACATACGGAAGACATAATCGTTCAGTCTTTTCAAACCGAGCGAGTTATAGATGAGGTCCGGCCTCTAATTATTCGGATAGACAATTCAGATAGTGACGACTCTGCTAGTGAAATATCAGACAGTGAATAGGACAAATCTTTTGCTAAAAAGAAGAAACAAAAAAGTGTTTCGGGAATTCAATTCAAACTTTGTGGTGTGTTTTAGTTAAATGATAAAGTACCTTCGGTCTAATTACTGGACTGCATACTCTCAATAGCTTTGGTATTAATTACTGGACTACACGTGTTTAAACATTTTGTTTTGCTGAAAACTCGAAAGTGATTTAGTGCCAATTTGTTTCAAGGTTATATTTAATACAGTGTCTGCGGAAAGTAAAGTCTTGGATGTATTTTATTCAAATTTGGATATACCAGCAACTTGGCAAGTATTTTCCAATTTAACTGCATGCAAAACCATTCATATAATTTTTACTCTACGCCAAATAGAGACTTATAGAGACCTTGATGAACATTTGATGTCGACAAATAATTTCAATTATTCGAAATAATCCGTCTCACTTCTTTTAAGCGGCCTGTATATACATATTATATTTATTTTATTTGCCTTTGATACAGTAAAATCCAATATTATTACTGAACATAAAATACAGGAAATTAAATATTTTTTCTTTTCAAGCGATCGAAATTAAATATTAAGTAACGCCCCACTGTTTGAGGCCCACTGATCATATCTTAATTACATATCGGACTTCATAGGCTAAAAGAAGTTATAGTTGTATACCTTACGTACCTTGCTATATTTTAATATTATCTTCCTAGTAACTTCACCTTCTTTTCAATCACTGTCATGAAATAAAGCTTCCAACTAATTTAAAAAAAAAATGCTCGTATATTCGTACGAGCTACAACTCATAACAAGTTATTATTTGATCAGTAATAATAATAACAAATGTATTAAAATAAATTACCCATTGTCTGTCATAATCCTGTACACACACATACCCATTTTCTGCTCTAGGTCTACAACTAACGGGGTTTAAAATTAGAATCGGGGTGACCAACGGGCGGGGGGGAAACTAGGCTTCTGTTGAAGCGACGAGGGAACTCTTAGGTGTATAGGCCGTCGCATTCGGGTCGAGGTTCGAAGGGGGGCTCTCGGCCAGGCGTACTCTGGACATGTTGCCACCTGGCGCCGGTGAACCAAATGAATCGGTCGGCATCACAGCCAATACTTGCGCTATCTTGCTTTTCAGCTCTTCGATTTCTTTTTCTTGTGCTCGATTCGCGCCTGAAAATTTATAAGATTAATCTATATTGACAATTAAAATATAGCAATTATTTTTTCGAATATGATATTTAAATTTCTAATGCTAAACCTTGTTTTATGACTCTTATTTTGAATTTTAAGTTCTAACGACAAATATTAATTTGATATGCGCAGTAAAATAACATCATCATCATTCTGGCTTTACAACCCTGCGTGGGTCCTAGCCTCCTCATGTTTTCTTTTAATCTAATTTTCCCTAATTTCTTTCTTTTAACTGCATCTTTAACTTCAAGAATAGTTGGTGGTTCCTCATCCGTCCCGTCTGTTCCTCTTACCTCATCTCTTTTGTCTTCCAGGTTTTCTTCGTCTTCCTCTATATTAAGTGCCTGGTTAAAGTAGTCCACCCATCTATTCAATACATCTATCCTTGTTGTTAATAGGTCGCCATTCTGACTTCTGCATTGTCTTGTGGTTGCCTTGAATTATTTTCTGTTGATGTTAACGTTCTTATAGAATGCGCAGAAAAGTAACAATACAATAAATGAGGGATACCACACAGAACGGATTGGATGAGGAAGTTCTCATCCCCAAGACGGCGCATCCGAATGGCTAATAGGGCATCAAATCAATAAATAACAAACAGTAATAAGTCAGAAAATACTGCACACTAGTTAGATATATATTTATAAGAAAACAACGCACCTAAGTCAGTACAGATATATAATTTAATAAATTAACCCTTTCGTGAACTGTGTCCTCAATTAAGGACAACCTATTCTATAATTTTTTGTATGTAGCTCCACGTGTTTTTAACCTTATAACACATTGTCCCGATTATGGACATCCTAGTCCGTCCAATGAGTATATGTGCTGCCACCTAAGAAAAATTTTGAACAAAAATATTTAATTTGTTAAAATATAGGTTTATATAGTTACTTATGACTGTAAATGTGTATTGAAAGAATTTGTATTGTCTTCATGGCTCATCACTGGAATACGCGCAGATGGCTGTTATCAATTAATATCTCTAGTGATAAACGGCTCAACGTACAACAACGTGCAAGATATCGATGGAGGGGGAGGTGATAACGAATATGTTAAGACAAAAAACAAAATGAAAAGACAATGCCAAAACGACATTATATCGTATCTTCGTTGCTATTGATCCGATTGCAACGTATGAGGCGTCAAACGAAAGTTGAAAGGATAATGAATAGGTCAAGATAAAAACAGACACAAAGACATTGCATAATACGACATTCTATGACTCTCTCCTTCGGAGAGAACAGATGATACAAGAAATTGATGACAGCAATAACAAGATACAACCCATAAAAGACAACACACAAAAGTTAACATCAATGAGAATTGGACAGACATTAAAACAGCGTTAATGAAACCAAGCATAAGTCACCTCCATAAAAGTAAAGAATATAAAAAAGAATGGATGACAGATGAGATACTGAACTTAATGGATGAAAGAAGAAAACAGAAAAACAAAAAGAACCAGAAGTATAAAGAGATACAAAAAGAAATTCGTCTAAAAATACGCACAGCTAAAGAAAACTGGTACGGGGAAAAATGGGAAGAAATCGAACAATTACAAAATAAACACGACAGCTTTAATGCACATCGGAAGATCAAAGAATTGACGAGGAGACAAGTAACAGACGCACATATTAGTACACGAGAGTGGAACACATTATTATGGACACAGAAGAAAAATTAAGAGTCTGGAAACAGTACATAGAACAACTGTTTAAAGATCCAAGAGACAATGTAGATAACGAATACATAAACAGTGACACAGGACAGAAATAACAAGAGATGAAGTGGAATACAGATTAAAGAATGAGGTCGGGGAAGGCTACAGGCCAGATGAACTACCAATAGACATAATTAAACTCATCAAAGGCAACAACTTAATAAAGATCGTGGAACTATTTAACAGCATTTACAAATCTGGTATCATACCTAATGAATGGCTAGTAACAACAATAATAGCCATACCCAAAAAGTCTAATGCGAGACAATGCTCGGAACATCGCACCATCAGTCTCATGTGTCATATATTAAAGGTCTTCTTTAAAAATCATTCATTGGAGAATATATAAAAAATTGGAAGTTGACATCGGACTCTCTCAATTTGGCTTTAGAGACGGACTAGGAACTAGAGAGGCACTGTTTGCTTTTATGTTCTAACACAACGATGTTTAGACGTTAAATCAGGACATATTTGTGTGTTTCCTAGACTATAACAAAGCATTTGATACAGTAAAACATAGGCCACTGAAGCAAATACTGGAAAATAAAAATATTGATACAAGGGCATGCGAGTGATAAGGAATCTATACTACAAACAAGAAGCTACAGTACGAATTAACAGCTCGATATCAGGTAGAATACAGATCAAAAGAGGTGTTCGGCAGGACTGTGTGTTGTCTCCAACCTTGTTCAATGTCTACGCGGAAGAAGTTATTAAAAAAGCTCTTATGAACGAAAAAGCCGGAGTAAAGATCAACGGTCACCCCATTTGCAATATCCGATATGCTGATGATACCGCGCTCATAGCAGAAAATATTGAAGACCTACAGAGATTACTAAACAAAGTGGTAGCAGCAAGTGAAGAATTTGTCTGTCACTGAATACAAAGAAGACCAAATTCATGATAATTACAAAGAAACGTATCAATAATATCAACTTACATGTAGGACAGAATCTCATTGAACGAGTACAAAATTACAATTACCTCGGAACAAATATTAACGAGTCAAACGAATTCACCAGAGAAATAAGAATAAGAATAGAGAAAGCCCGCAGTGCCTTTAACAACACGAAACAAATGTTGTGTAGCCGAAACCTAAGCCTAAAGCTGAAAATACGAATGTTTAAATGTTATGTTTTCTCGGTCCTGTTATATGGGGTGGAGGCGTGGACACTAAATAAGCAATGTATGGGTAAGCTGGAGGCATTTGAGATGTGGGCGTACCGAAGAATGTTAAAAATCTCCTGGAAGGATAAGATAAACTAACCAAGTTGTATTAGACAGGATGAACAAACAAAAGGAGGTCGTATTGAGTGTTTACAATGAGGTAAACTACAATACCTGGGACATATTACACGTGGGAATAAATATCAACTGTTACAACTAATTATGCAAGGAAAGATTGAAGGTAGAGCGCAGCATAGGTAGGAGAGAATGTCATGGTTGAGAAACCTCAGGGAGTGGTTTGCTTGCACTTTCATACAATTGTTCCGAGCGGCAGCCTCCAGGGTCAAAATTGCCATGATGATTAGCCAACCTTCGTAGCGGAGATGGCACGTGAAGAAGAAGAAGAATAAGCCACCATTTTTGTCAGATATGCGAAATGAAGAAGAAAGGTAGTGGATCACGCTAAGAATTAAATAGTGGTGATGTAGAGGTCATTATGACAAAATGTTTTGATAAACTCGTTACTAAACTATATGGGCATTGGCAAAAAAATGAATGCACACTGGGGAACAAATTACACAAAGAATATGTTCAAGTACAATGACCATGGGAGGCATAGATAAGTTATGCACGCCATACACACTACGGTCTACCGGAGAGGTCTACCTGTGCAGATATGCCTGTACAGGTCAACGAAACAGCGGTAGCGTATAATGGGGACTCTCCGGTGTACCGGTGCGGTCTTCAGTTCCTTTTACGATGACATCGATTGAAGACGATGACGCGTTAGCATTGTTGGGCCTTGTTTTAATTTTAAAGACAAAAGTTTAAAAAACAGTGAAAAATAAGCGAAAAAATTGGTGTAAGTATTGGTTGTTCAAAAGGAAAACATACAGTCGTGTTAACTTATTGAATGAATTCAAATTTGAACCAGAAGGTTTTAAAAACTATCTCCGGATGGACGAGAAAACATACATTAAATTACTTGAAATGGTTACTCTTATGATAAAAAAGAAAGACACAAGTTATGAGGCTTTAAAATTCTCAGCAATTATTTCATCTCGAATATTGTAATCTTTGTTTTTGATTTCCCAAAGACATGAATGAATTCTATAAATTTCGATAAATCCTTCAAGCCTTTTTTTAGTTAAAACTGGTGGCACCATATTTCTGGGGTTAATTAAAGAGTGGTGTGACAATACGAAGCGAACGACAAGACGACTTTCCCAGAGAAACGCTAGAAAACAACTGACGCGACCTGCGCAGGCGGCCGGAGTACATGCACAGACGCACAGGTACATCGTACGGTGTCACTCGAAAAAATTGATTTTTCATTTTGCTCCGGTCACCTGTACAGGTTCAAAAAACTGCATAGGTCTATTCCCACACACGTTCCGGTCTACCTGCGCAGGCATGCGCACAGGTAGACCTCTCCGGTAAACCGTACTGTGTATGGCGTGCATTAGATTACCTAATAACACTGTACAGAATTTATATTAGAACAAGGAAATGGTCGCTAAAAATATGTGTCCATAATTTATCATGTGTCAACGCTTGGCTGGAATTTAAAAAATGCTGCTGCTTTAGGGGCTGGGAGTAAAAGGATTCTAGATTTTCTACATTTTAGAGCATATGTTTCAGAAGTTCTGTTGAAAAGTATGAAAACGCCTACAAGACAAAGGGGCAGTCCGCCTACGGTTACGGAACAACAGCCGGGACCAATAACTTCAAAAATACTTACTGTGGTTGAAACGCACTCTGTCAAAGAAATACAACTAGATCGATTTCATCAATGGCCCGTACACGATGATAAACCTAATGCATCCAGATGTAAATTGTCTGGTTGTAGGGGCAATTCACTAATGAAAGGCGACAAATCAATGGCCATCTTTGTATAAGTAAAGAAAAAAATGTAGATAGATACCATACATAACGTATTGAATAAACACTTTTTTGTTGTTTGTCAGTATTTAAAAAAATATATCTACTCAACTAAAATATTTTTACTCCATTGGCTCCAGATGTCTTCAAATAAGCACATCTTGTAGTGCCCAAACTGTGCATTTTAAAAATGTAAATATAATGTAATGTAATGTAATATAAAAAAAAACCGCAAAAATCATTCTTGCTATGTTGCAAATTTCAGATTTTTAGCTTAAAGGAAATTATTTCGTGAACAAAATGAGTAAAGGATTCCCCAAACCGACGCGAAACTTTCGCAGCGGAATCGCGGCGAATCGTAAGGCACGGCGACTTGATGCATGTGTTCAGACAAGTTCGGACGGAAACCGGAACGGTCGCGGCAGAACAGCGTTGACGTTTTCATGAAACGCTGCATGCACGGTTTTTTCCGCTGCAGTTATAGCAAGTTATAGTTTCGCGTGAATTATTAAAATGGCTGTTACAGAAAAACTAATTGAAATTGTGAAACAATATCCTATAATTTATGATTTAAGTGACGAAGATTATAAAAATATAAGAAAAAAGGATAAAGTCCTGGGATAATATAGGGTCATTTCTAGGAGAAAATGGTAAGTTTTCATTATATATTATATATAATGAATTTAATAGTGCTCCGCCTGCGAATGTTCCGCAACGGTTTCGCGTCGCAAAAGTTTCGCGTCGGTGGGGAATCCTTAAAGTGACAAATATGTTCAGTGCGACGAATTTTACGATATAATTAATTATATGATACTATTACATGGTGAATTAGTGATGGTATTGAATCAAACTTGCGAAGTTCCGTGACAATTATAACGTACAATAAATAAAATACTTACTTTCTCTGATTTCGAGCTGCCTTTTGGCCTCTCCCAAAGCGCTGAATAAATCCAACTTTATTCGATTCTCTGCCGAGAGAGAGTTTTCCAAATGTGAATTTTTCTCTTGCAATGCGGATAATGCCGACATGAGCAATTCTGTGTCACGTACTTGCTCACTGAACGAGGCGTTTTCCCTTTCGAGGGCTTGTAAACGATCCTCCTGCCAATGTTTGGAAGCTCGAAGTTCTGATATCTCCGACTCCAACTCGCGACGACGAACCTTGCACGTTTCCGTGCATTCGCCTCGAGATGACTGTTGAGCCGCAACCTATATCAAAAAGGAACGATTATATGTACATATTCGTATATGTTAAAGATAACTTGACACTGGAATATATGCAATAGAAAATGAGTCAAATATGCGCATATATATATATATATATATATATATATATATATATATATATATATTTAAGGAATATGCGTAATATACAGATAACGACATTGTTTTGTTGGCCATAGGAATTAAGATTTTTACAATCCTATCTCTAGAGTATATTTATTATAATGCTCTAAAACTAATTTTTTGGTTATTTTTTAGCCTTAATAGCAATACAAATTAATTGGTAAATAAGTAATATGCTTTATTGTCACTGAAAATTGTACAAATTTTATGGACAAAGCTTATAACAATAAGACAAGAAAGAAGAGAAAAATCAGAATTATAATCGTTTGTACTTTTAAATAAAAAAAAACAAACTTAAACCTCCTGACAATTAACGGGAAGGCGTCGAACAGCCGAAATAATCTCATTCTGTAAAAGTTGTAAATATTTGGGCCCGTTTAGGTTTTCATCGATAAAAAAATGGACCGACAATATAGTCGCCTAACATCCCAGTCCAAAGATTTAACTTTTGCGAATGCTGCGTTCGCACTGCAACACTGAGGTGCTTATTTTTCCGAGAATAATACCTTGTAACGAATGGATTGTGTTTTTTATGTAATGAAAATGAAGATTTTTCATTACAAAACTCCATCCGCCTAAAGTTATCTTGAGAACTTGCTGGACAGTTCGAGGATTCACGTTAACTTCCTTACCAATTTGTACACTATCGCAGGGTTCACTAGCTTCCACAACAGCACAAATATCAATATTCCTGTTTTGAAGCTCCTCATCGACAGGTCTAACACGTGGTTCATTACCTTCATGACACTTTTTACAACTGTTTACACATCCCGAAGTTTGAAAATGTTTAATGGTATTTTTAACTGTTGTAACACTTGGTAGGGGTCTATTTTCGAAGGCAACAATAAATAAATCAATTAGTTCACGTATCGAATGACCCTGAAAGTACCATGTTACAAGTTGCACTTTTTCTTGGACGGTATACATGTCAATGTGACAATAACGACAATTCATACCTACTGTGAAATGAATATAGAGGTGGAAACATGTAACATGTCATAGCGATTGCCATTGTTTTGTATGGTCAATAAGACAATGTCGTGCTCTCTCTCTCTCTCTCTCTCTCTCTCTCTATATATATATATATATATATATATATATATATATATATATATATTGAAAAAGTTGTATTTTATTAATTTTATTTTTTATTTATAATAAATGTAATTTTTAAAATATGTGGTTCGTTGTTTAATTTAATATATACCTCAGCTAGCTCAATTATATGTTCTAAGCAATCTGTCACTGTGTGACGTCGACTCTGTAGTCTCCTGGTAGAGTTCAAAAAGAAATTAAACAAAAATTTACTTTAGACCTTTGATAAATTAACCCAAATGAAGCACGTTATTTATTAATATTGAACAAATTTAATATAAACAATAAAATTCGTCTGCAACTTCGGTTGCCTTTAAAAATTTACAAAAATAGGAATCGTTTAAGTCTTAACGTGGTTTAGTGACGTGACAATAAAAATGTATTACAAAATGTGGAGACTCTCTACAAGTACCTAAAAACTAAATAAATATTGCAACTTTATAAAGTGTTTAAATGAACTATAAAGAAAAAGAAAATGAACACTTTATTCCGCTGACTATTCAAATATAATCAAAATTTCAAATGATCCCCAAAATTATTGTCCAACCTCACTTTAAAACAGTTCTGATTTCTTTAAAGGAAACTAACTACTCAAAAATAATCGGTGAAACTGGAATATCAATCCTCTCTTCGGAAGTTAAGGTACGTACTATTCTATTTTTAATTTAATGATCATTAATAATTTCAATTTTTAAGGCCTATCGCAATTATGTTAATTCATGAATTTTAATTTTCTCAATTTAAATGACATTTCTATACTCCAATATAATTTATAAGTGAAATTGTTTCTCTTACTCTCTGGAACAAATTTCTGGATATCTCTGCTGTGGAAACTGTGGAAAAACTAAATTCTAATTAGACGAGTTAAAAAACACTCCCGACCTATTCCACAGTTTCAGGGCTCTCCTTCGTCCAAAAAAAAACCTCGTCGGCGTCCTCTCCAAAAACCAATTCCTCTTATTATCCGTTGCTAACAGCAACCAACGTTCTTTTTTTTTCTGTCTTCTATTTAAATATTTTAAACCATAAAACTGTCCCTGTTTGACATATTTGTCAAGCCACATTACTTTCTCATAATCACTTTAATCACATCTAATTTGGGAATTTATAAAAAAAAATGTTTAGATATAAAACTTATTCTATTACAATACTAATTTATTCTTTTCATCTCCACATCATTGTAATTTCTTATTTAACAAAACCCCTATTAATTTAGCTCCCACAGACTGTCAAATAAACTGTCAAGCAGTTTATTTTCTGACGTTTATTAAAATTTCTATGTTTAAATATTTTTTTAAAATTCTTCTTTTTTTGTTCTTTTTAAGGTTTAGACGATTCACCTATACACTAGGCAACTATACTATTCAGAAATTATTAACACTATACCAGGTAAGTCAAAATTAATTTATTTAACAATTTACTAATCTTTTTCTCTCTTTTATTTCAGAGTCGAACCCACATTGTGATGGCTTCATGAAATTCATAAACAACAAACTCATATAAAAATCCATTAAAGTTGTATATATTTTAACATATTGAAATCATTTCAATATATATATATATATATATATATATATATATATATATATATATATAAACAAACAACAAAGTTTATTAGGGCTGCAGTCAGAAGTTTGGCCGGGATGCTACAGAAACACTCTTTTGACTTTTGGTCTAGCTTTCGGATTGTTTAATTCCTTTTTCAAGACACTGTAATTAGAAGAATGTGTAAATATTTACAATATATCACAAAATGTCAGTGCAACTTACTAGTCTTTGAGATTGTTTATATAAAGCTATGACACTCAACATTAATAACACACATTTATAAAATAATGGACAAATTACATTTTAAAATTTAGTTTGATAGTAAAAATTCGTTTGTGACATCTTTTAATGGTGTGTTTTAACTGATCCATAGAGAATAGAGAAAAAAAAAACAAAAATAGTATGATTAACAATTAATTAGATGTTCTTTATATTTTATTAATAGAAAGTAATGTATTAAACCTGTCTTGATGGTATGCAACATGTTTTGCATGCAGGTGTATTTGGTGTGTATATGTACAAGTATTTATTTCATTTTTGATGTTTTGTCAGTAAATAACAATAAATGTTGCTCAGTTTATCTATATCAGACTTTTTATTTATACAAGACGTATTGGATTTTATGAAACACATTTCCAAGAAAACACGTTTAGAATGTTTTTTTCCTTGCCAAAATACAGGAATCCTCGAAATTAAATTCATGTTTTAATTAAAATAGATCGTTTAATTTGGTATGGACATGTGAGAAGAACAGATCATACAAGGTGGATAGCAAAGATTTCGGATTGGAGCCGAACAGAAAGAGGAAAAGAGGTAGACCTGAAGATCATGGAGGGATGAAGTGGACGAGGCCATAGAAAGACGAGACCTTAGAGATAGAGAATGGTAGAACAGAAAGGACTGGATATGTTGGCTGAAAGAAGGAAGGCGGCGACAGCTGTAAAAATCGTTACATAGACAGATGGATATAAAGAAGAATAGTTACCTGCGCAGCTCTGGCTTCCTCTTGCTTTCGACTTTTTCTTTCTTGATTAAGTTGTGACTCGAGATTTGATCGAAGCCGCCTTTCTTCGGCCAGCCGTCTTTCTAAATTACTAATTGTTTGTTTGTCGGAAGATTTTGTACTTAAGGCGCTCTGCAACCTCTGCTGCACGTCTTCTACGTCTCTTTGTAACGAGGAAATTTCGCCTTTTGAAACTTTTTCGGAAGTTGTCAGCGACGCAACCTATAAACGGAAGATAATTTAGTAAAAAACATTTAATTACATGGACGTATAAATAAAGAAGGACCGGGCTATTTAAATCTTTACACGAAGCCATGAGATCGTCACAGTCATAGACACAAATCCTTAATTTGACGTTGTCATATTATTTTTTTTTCCAAGTCAATCTTCGAAATAATTTTCGATTTTTAGTATAATTTATTTTTAATTTATAAAGAAAAATGTAATTATCTAGTTAGTATAAACTATTTTTAGATATACTCATTTCGCAACCAATGAACTAAAAGAAAAACATTAATTTTTTAATTTATTAAAAGAAAATATATTCTGATAATGTTAACTTTATGTAAAACTTGGCATGGTAATATTAACCAATCGTAGCAATTTGAGGAAAATGAACATGGCGTTGTACTGTTTACCTTTGAGTTGATAATTTCCTTATTTGTGACATTTTAGTGAATTTGTTAATATATTTTAAATTTTAATTGAAGAATAGTTAATAGTTAAGTGTCCTAATGATGCGTAACTGTGTTGTATGCAGGAAAACTGCATATTTACATACACAACTGTCATTTCATTCGTAATTATTATAAACATGGACGTATAAACACAGATGGACTCAGTTATTTACATAAAATTGTGAAGTCAAAATTATTTGAATATGTCACATTCTCAGCACCTCCAACTGTTGTCACGTTTTTTTATTAAAAATTCTTATTCGCGAGTCGCTGAAAATATTACTCCGTATTTTATACTCTACAGGTGCTATCAAACCAAAATAATAATTTATTGGTTATATTAATATATCTAATTGTAATCAAAATATCAAGTGTGCACATAGTGTGCATTATCATTTAATAATAGCGTATAATAGATATCAATAAATTATTTTATATTTAGAAGCACTGAAAACTATTTATAAATGGCAACGGTTGTTTACATTTCTCTGTTTTACGGTTCTACGTCAAACTTCAAATGCTATTCCATGTTTGTTTACAACGATTGAGGAAATAAGGAAAAATTGTTTTTAGATAATTTTGGCTGTATTTTGAGTGATATTTGTGAAAAGTGAAATAAAATAAACGAAATATTTACATCCCGGTCTTTCATTTCATTTGTAAGTACATAAAATTTACATTATTTAAGATGAGGAAATGAAAAAGCGTGTTTGTTTACATTTTAATAGGCGTACCATTGGGTTTATTCATGTTCATTAATGTATTCAATAAGATATAATAAAATTGTATTTTAATTTTTCTATAAAGACGTGATTTGTTAATAGTTAAATTCTCGTTTTTTTTAATTCTTTGAACGTGTTTTTATACATTATTACTAGGTACTTCCAATTTTTAAAATCTGAATAATTACCCGCGAGTAAAAATTCAAGCACGCTTATACTCATTGCGGAAGCATCACATTCTATCGAAGCTTCAAAACATTGTGTGTTAAAGGTATCTTATTGCTGTGTCCATCTATGTTTATACGTCCATGATTATAAACATTGGAATTGCGTCCATGGGCGTAGTACAGGGATGTGATATTACTTAATTCTTGACATGAATTGAAATTTAATTTTGTGAAATAAAGTAAATTTTGTAGTAATATAAATACATTTATTTATTTTTTCTAATCTACATTATAATTGTTATAAATATATTAATTTCAATGAAATATATGCAGGTTCACAGTAAAGAATCAACAGCTGCTGGATATGTGGTTGTCTATGTTCGGCTTAACTAAAGAACAAGTAACCAAAACTGCTATGGTCTGCTGAGAACACTTTAGAAAGCATGATCTAATTATTCAACCAAGTGGACGGATTAATTTGAGGAATAAATATTTATCATAAATCACCAGAACTAAGTTAACTATAACGAATTTCTATGTAATTTACCATACTGAGTATATCAAAATATAATACATACTCATAGCATATTAATTCAATGTTTCAGTTCTACAAACGATATGGAAAATAAAGAAACAACTTCCATTAGTATTGATATGGACGATTTTTATGGACCTTCAAAAAGGTGAGTTTGTATCGAATTTGTTAATTAAATTTACAAATAAATCTAAATGTGGATTTTGATTACTTATTTCATTTTAATATTAAAATTACTCACACTATTTTTAGGAGTTTTATTGATGAAGATTACTGAATTATGTAATTGATTACTGAAGTAGTCAGAATTGACTGATTACTGACGAATGTAATATGGAGACAGACTTGGGCTTTAATGTAAAATCTAATTCTCTTAAACTATTAAAAAGGAGGTGAGTTTTGGCTAAATTTTGTATGAGATTATTTCAATCTTAAACCAATTTTAATATTTTTCTTAAATGTACATAAATTGAATATTCTAGATGTTTAAATGACAATGAAGAAAACAAGGAAAATATAGATATAGATATAGAAAACGCATCTTCGAGCACCATTACAGCATCAGAAACTGAAACTGTAGAAACAGAGTGCAGGGCATGCCCAGTCCATTTTTATTTATACGTCCATGTTTAATTATATCTTATAAAATGAACGGAGTCTTCAAAGATATTTACCAAAACCTTTTTAGTTTTAACTTAAAGATTTCGGCATTTGCTTATTAGGATAATAATTCTGAGCAACTAGTTTGAAAAGTCGTTATATAATAATTTTATTAAATAAGATAGTGGGTATATGTCGAAACTGCCAAATACAGTGAAACTTTAATACTACGTAGGTAGTTACGTCATCAAGGTTTTAACGAAAATTTTTAATAGATCCGGCCAAAAACTGTTCGATAAAATTATTAAAAACCCTGTTTTATCCGTTAAAAATAAAGTAAGCCTCGTCTATAGTGTCATAAAATTTTACAGTAGGTTGTTTTATATTTTATGAAGAATAGAGCTGCGTAACCTAATTATATGTAAAAAACAGGCCCACAAACAATTTAAAATTAGTAGTAGGCAAGATGATTATGACCGTTTTGTGACTTTAAGAAATCAGTGTGAAATTTTAAGAGCAGACTGTCAGAAACAGTATTTAGATGGGATACAAAATAACATTTCCTATAATCCAAAATATTTTTGGTCTTATATTAAAAGCAAAAGAAATGGGTATAATATACCATCCAGAATGGTCTATAAGGATAGGGTTGGCTTAAATATGAAGGACTCTGCCAATATGTTCGCAGAATATTTCTCATCAGTCTACTCAGATGAACAAAAAGATACTTTACCTTTTTTTAATTTTGACAGTTCTATTTGTTTGAGTTCTATAATACTTACAGCGTCATATTACCAACTATAGCAACTGAGGTCTTTGATACTATTGCAAGTTGTAAAAACAGATTATGTGCAGGGCCGGATGGAATCCCAGCCTATTTTCTGAAAAAATGTATATGTGTACTTACAAAACCAATTTTGTTTATTTTTAACAGATCACTTGGTACTGGTAGCTTTCCCAGTCTCTGGAAGAAAAGTTTTTTAAAGCCGATTTTTAAATCGGGTGCAAGGAACGATATATCAAACTATCGAGCTGTCTGTAATCAGTCGGAGCTGCCCAAGTTGTTTGATTGTTTGGTTAGTAAGAAACTGACATGGAGTTATAGAGGCATTTTTAATCCTGAACAATTTGGCTTTTTGAGAGGGAGGTCAACAGATACCAACCTGGTTTTGTATGTCAATCATATATATAACAGCTTTGAAGAGGGGTACCAGGTTGACTCAATCTATACTGACTTTTCCAAAGCATTTGATCGGGTAAACCATGGGGTCCTCTTACAAAAACTAAGAGCTTTGGGTATTTTGGATCCCCTTCTTCAGTGGATTACAGAATTTGTTAGTGGCCGTACGCAGACAGTTAACTTGGGAAGTGACACTTCAATTGAAATAACATTCCATCAGGCGTGCCACAAGGCTCCCATTGTGGCCCTGTTTTGTTTTGCTTGTTTCTGGTTGATTTAGTACAACAAATCAAAAATTGTAGTGTTCTTATGTTTGCTGACGATGTAAAACTGTTTAGAAAAATTCAATCCTGGAATGATGCTGTTATATTACAGGAAGATCTTAAATCGTTTTATGATTGGTGCACTTAATGTGTTGATTAATGTAATGATTGAGTGACACAAAATTTCAGTCAATATAAACAAATGTCATAAAATGACATTCTCGAGGCAAAGAAATCCAATTACATTTGTTTACTACATAAATAACTTGCCATTAGTCTCGAAAAATGAAGTATTAGATTTGGGAATTTGGTTAGACACCAAACTGTCATTCTCAAGCCACATTAACCAAGTAACAAACAGATCGATGAAAGTGTTGGGATTTATCCAACGCACATCTGTGGATCTGTCTTTATTTACATTTAAAAGACTTTATTGTGGTCTCGTTAGGCCCATTCTTGAGTTTGGATCAGTTGTATGGTCCCCATCATACCACTGTTACATTCAACAGATTGAAAGAGTCCAGAATAAATTTTTGAGGGTAGCAGCCTATAAGAGTGGATACAGGAGAGAGGAATACAACTATCAGTGGGTAAGAGATAGTCTTAACTTACCAACACTTGAATCAAGGAGGATATTGTTAGATTTATGTTTCTTACACAAAGTTATCAATGCTTTTATAGATTGTCCTCAACTCTTATCGCTTGTTAGTCTTAAAGTTCCTAGTAGAAGCAACAGACAATCAGAAATATTTTCGGTGCCATTTCACCACACTAATTATGGTATCAATGAACCATCTACACGATCGGTCCAGAGTGCTAATAGCTTGCCAAGACAAATAGATATTTTTGACTCCAAAATTAGTTTGTTTAAAAAACAACTAAAAAGTATCTTACAGTAAGTTGGTTGTACATCTGTATTATTCTTATATGTTTGTATTATTCTGAGGTGTTTGTTATTTTAATAATTTATTGTTGTTAAGGTGTAACTTTGTAAAACTTGTGATTGTTATTTTAATAATGTATTGTTTTTAAGATGTAACTTTGTAAAAATTGTAAGTAAATGGATGCCGTATATAAATAAATAAATAAATAAAATGCAATGCGTGTCCGGCATTGTTCCTTCCAAGAATGTGAAAAAGTCCGATTATCCCTTCTGTTTACAGTTATGTGACCTTGACAGTTCTATGATTTCTCACTTATCAGTGCCATCCTAACAGTCAAATTTTCTGTTTCAGAACAGTCAGTTTAAGAAATTTTAGCATTAGAGAACTTTTTCATAAAAAATGTAAGTTTCATATACCTGATGTTTTATTTCTTAATTTTTTTTATCCTAAATGCAGCTGTAATAATACATAATGCTGTAATAAAATTTTGCCTCGTTAAAATTTCATTTTTTTTTCTACCTCTATTATAACGTCAATCTAATATAGCGCCATTTTTTTAGTGGACCCTTCAATGACCTTATAGCCAAGTTTCATACATGGATGAAATTAAGAAAAATAAATATAATGGCTTTACCTGTAGCCTTAACTCTTGTTCGCTGGCTCTGCTTGTGTGCAAATCAGATCTTAACTTTTTGACATCAGTCTCTAACCTCTGAAGGTATTCTGTTGCCTCTCTGTCTTTGTCTTGTTCTCTTTTCTCTCTTCTTCGCGTCGGTCTCGTCTCCGATTCCTGACTGCTTCCTTCCTCGATTGATGAATTCACCAACGAACCATTGCTGTGCGCGTGATTAACTTTTTGTCGATCTATATGTCGATCCGAATGTTTACTGAAAATCAAAAAAAGCAAATGGTACAGAGAAACGCAATTATTATTGTTAACGAACATTATTTTCCACATGACATATTATTATAGTATACAGTTGAATCCACGGTTCTTTAACAGTGTGTCATTAATAGCTGGTGAGATGAAACACATATTTTTTATCTAATATCATTGTCTTCCACGCATGAAACTAAAGACAAACCAGCTACCGCCTGTTATTAAGTAAAGACATGCTATTTTTATAAACGCTCTATTCAGTATATCGGAAAGAGATGGATACAAAACAGACGCTTGTTTCGAACAAGTTTCGTACGCTTTAATGATGACACACGAGTAAAGAACCATGGACTCAACTGTAAGCAAAATTTTATCCGGCTCGAAGGACCACAAACTTGAGTTAGCGACATAAGAGTTTAGAGACGAATGAAGATTTCAAACTGGATCGTGAGACCCATTAAAATGTATCTTTTAATAAGACAAACACGATTTTCAGTGTTGTTCAATGCTTTTTATATTTTGTAATTGAACAAATACTTACCTAGTGTGATCATTCCCGTGTTGATCTTGATCTTTACATTTCTCTACCGATTTTCTGTGATGTGATTTTGTAGTGTGTGTATTATGTACTCCATTGGCTATGGCCCCGTTAGGTATGTGACCATTTTTCTCATGAGATTTGCTACTAAAAACATGACATGTTATTTGAAACAATACATTTGAAATGTAAACAAATATTCTTACACACTAACAAACTGCCAATATTTTTTGGATTTACACCTGCCACAATCTCTTTTAAAAGCTATTCAGTAGATTGTTTAATACAATAATGAAACTATTTTAAATTATAAATTCATTTGTTTATTTTCCACCACATCCCAAATCAAAATGTCTAAAAAACAGAGTGCTTACGCGAGTACGTCAGAATATGTACACGTACTAAGTGTGTATAGATATAAATATCCATAAAAACGCTAAATAAAATATAGAATATAAACAGTCTAGAAGTCTAGAAAAATATATAGGTGAAAAAATACAACTTACAGGTATCTGATAATTTGAATTATTAGTTAGTATCAGATCGGCACTAGTTTTTTTTTTAAACAAAGGCCAAATTTTTTTACATGTAGCATTTTTTTATTATATTTGGAGCAATTTTGTATAGAGAAACGTATGTTATGAATAGACTTTAATATATAGAGATTAATTTAAATTTTCCCAAGTTCAAATTCATCAATAATTTGACGAGATAATTGCAAGACCATTTTACTGCATTATAACTTTCGATCTAGATAGTCAGAGAAGTAGTGAAAAGTAAAAATTGAGATGTCGGATCGAAGATGTGCAGAGGTGGATATGTATATGGGTGGAACAAGAGTTGGCAAGCGTGGAAAGTGATAAAGTCTCCCCGGAGGGAAGGAAAGGAAAAATCTAACTTACAGTTAATACATCTAAAACAGTGGAAACACCATTATGAAGTCTTACTGACAGAAGATAGATATAAATTCCAAGAGATCGAAATGGAAGAAATAACCGACCATACACAAATAATTGGGATAACAACCGGAGAGTTAAGCGATGCCCTCAAAAGATCGAAAAGCGGAAAAAACAAATGCTTAAGAGGAGAAAATATCTCTGATGATTGGAATGTTGGATACATCAGCTCATTCAAGAAAGGGGATAAACGCAAATGCTCTAATTATAGGGGAATAACTGTTACCAGCTCAGCGGGGAGGTTGTACGGTCGAATAATAAAAGAAAGAATAGAATCAGAATACGAAGACATAGAAGAACAAAATGGATTTCGTGCAGGTAGATCGTGCACTGACCGTATATTCGTTCTGCAGCAGGTAATCGAAAAACGGAAGGCAAGGAATCTATCTACCCACCTATTGTTTGTCGATTTAGAGAAGGCATACGATACGGTATCTTTGAAAAAACTGTTTCAAACATTGACGAAAGTAAGTATCAGTAGAGTATGTGGATGCTATCGCAAATATATATAAAGATGCAAGAAGTGTCGTTAAAGAAGAAAACTTTACATCTGAATCATTTCCAATAACAAAGGGGCTTAAACAAGGATGTTGTCTATCTCCGACCTTATTTAAAATATATATTCAATCATCGTTAGAGCAGTGGAGGAAACAAGTATCCGGAATGGAAATAGACATAGCCGGTGCTAAATGCCTAACAACTTTATTTTTCTACATGTTTAGAAAACTAAAGAAAGAATATAAAAAATGGGGCCTCAATATGAATATGTCAAAGACAGAGTATCTTAAAATAGGAGATGATGAAAAAGATTCAGAGTTAAAAATTAGAAACACAAAAACATGACATGAATATAAATGTCTCGGATCTATAATATCTAAAGAAGGTACTACCAAAAGAGACATCGAAAACAGAACGCAGCAGAGAAAAAAGCGATAAACATTTTAAACTCTCTACTATGGTCTAAAGATATAACGTTAAAAAAATACTAACAACAAGCAAAGGAAGAAGTAAAAGTATTGAGAAAAATATAAACAAATACGAAAAACATAAGAATGTAACAATATCAATTTTGTTAGTTTAATAGTTTCCTTTTATCAGTAATCAGAAATAACTGAAAAAATGCGACAATGTAATTACAAATTGGACATTTTAATGCTCATAACTTTATTAATTCACTTAATGGTTATTTATTTGTTTAATGTCAATAATTAATATTTTTATGTGATAAAAGCAATGTTTATGTTGATAATTATATGGCTGCTCCAATAAATATAAATAGTTTATTGATGTTATTTTTAACTGTACCATTAAAACATTTGACGTTCATCTACGATTATTTTTGTTGCATACAATAGAGAAAAAGTCACTGTACACTTGAATGGGTTTAGTAAATTCACGCTTTAATTGTATTTTACATATAATCGACTTTGATAGAAACGTCTTTGATTATTTTAATTAAGTTTTGCGGAATTCCGCCGATGCACAGTAATTCGATAACATCCTTCAGCTGAATTATATCAAAGGCTTTCCATTAAGTCTATGAAATACAAAAATGGTGGACTATTATATTCCATAGATTTTTCCGATATTTGTCGCATAATAAATACAAAGTATGTACAGGTTGTCCCAAATTGGTATATTTTGCAGGGTATACCGAAAACTAGAGGAAACAGAAAAAAGTAATTAAGATGCCATGACTTCTTTTCTCGTTAAAGTAACGATTGCTTAACCAAATCATCAACAGCTCTCCACATTAGCGATATACAAGGTGATTATTGAAAAATGTCGAAAAGGACAAGGTTATCTTCTTTAGGAAAATTTTAAAAAACTGTATTAAAACTTTTGATAGATATTATGGAAGGGTTCAGTGGCACACATAATTATTTTAAAAGGGGACCTCACTAAGGAGATATGATACCAACTCATGTTTTTTATATGAAAACGCAAACATGACGATTTCCATATGCACAAAAAAATTAAAGAAGTACAAAACACCAGAAAACAACGCAATTCAGGCATAGTTGTAGACAGTGAAGGCCAGATTTGGATTACCATTGAAGATAAATTACGAAGATGGAAAGAATATAATATATGCAAGAATTATTCGAAGATGCAGCACGAAGTCAGACTGAAATAAATAATCCCTACGGCCCAGAAATAATAAACGAAGAAGTAACTATGGCCATTAGGCGGATTAAAAATGGGAACTCACCAGGACCCGATGAGATACATGGTGAAATTTTAAAGCTTTTAGAGGCACACCAATTCACAGCTCTTACGCAGCTATTCAACATCTACCAGACATTGACAATGGTCAACTTATAAACAATATTAGATATGTATATGGTACAATGTTGCTGGCAGATAGTGTGCAGGGGCTCCAAAGGATGATGGATAACATTGTAGACCCATGTAACAAATACGGCCTAAAACTAAATTGCAAGAAGACAAATATGGCCTAAAACTAAATTGCAAGAAGACAAAAATAATGATCATAGTAAGAACACCAACATAAACGCCCAAATTACAATGGGCGATACACTGTTAGAAACAGTGGAAAACTAAGCTATTTGGGCTGTAATATTAAGGATACTTGGGATCACGGCTACGAAATAAAAACTAAAAACTGATCTATTTCGAGCTGCTGTGAATAGAATAAGATGGGTCAATATGGTCACCAACATCTCTAGAAGACAGAGGTTTTATTGATAATGGCTTTTGTTGTTTTTTTCCAAATAGGTTGTTGGATTATTAGGAATTGGTCTCCAGTCTGGAGTATTAATGATATTTGAGAGTTTATTAATGTAAAAAAGGTGTTTAAGATGACAGAGGGTGGACTTTTATCGACGGGAACAATGACTAGATTTGGATTTGACTGAAGTTCTTTCAGGTTTTTTCTCGGATTCTTTGATTTTCTAAGAACCCTAGAGATGTCTTGTCTGGTTATTTCAGCATATTCGGAAGGTAAACTGGAGATGGCTTCTTCAGTTTGACAGATGGTTGTCTCAATTTACATGTGACTTGTGGTGACAGAGTAATTGAAACCTTTTGTTAAAGCTTGAGTGGCAGTGATCGATATAGGCCTATTCGAATATTTTTTATTTGAAATATTTTTTTCTATGATACCTATACAGATTTGTGGTAAATCATTTTTTTCATTTTTTTCCCTTGTGAGGTGGTAGTTTTAGGGGGAAGCCGGGAGGTACGAGTAGTAAACTTTTTTGCATATTTTTTGGAGTCCCAAAATTAACCTTTTCAGCAAATTTCAACTTGTTCGTATGATTTTTAGGGGTTCAGTGCCTTGAAAGGGTATTAAAAAGTCAGCATTTTTTACGACATAGTTTCTGGATGTACCCTAATATAAACATACCATAAGAAGTAGCCTTGTAAGAACTCATAATATATACACCTAAAATACTATATTTTAGCACAGTTATTAACACCTACTCAAGTGATTCATATATTATTTCTGTTAATATAGCGATCCATTTTTTTTACAAATCTATAAGTAACATACCTATTTTGTAGTTTATTATTATTCAGTACTGGCTGAACAGGTACAACAGCATTTGGCGGTGGTTCTATTTGTTCTTGCGCATTCGCGCATGTCTCTACTGGCAGCGCCTGCTGCATCAGTTGCATATAAAACTGATTCTCTTTCGCCACCACTTGCTGCTTCCGCTGGCGCATCCTATACCCCACGTATGATTTGAACGCGAAGCCCAAAGTTACCACAGGGTAACCTATACAATGTGCCGCGAAAGGCCTGAAAAAGAAATTACAACCCAATAAATAAATTTAAATTTATTAAAATGACACAAATTTAAATTACACAAAGTTCACAATTTTTTTTTATATTTTCACTGTAATCTTAAAGTCAAGTTTGTAATCATATAATTTTTTTTATAAAAACTAAAAAAATCAATCACTAAGGGGTTAAAACAAAATTTCACACTATTCAGAATCTTAAGGATATAAGGTATATTTCTAAAGTTAGCTTACCTACAGAGATCCAAATGGCCTGGCATATGCTTGATATCCCGAAGTCTCACAGCCGCCTCCAGATAAACAAATAATACCCAGAGGACAATTGTGGGAGCACATATGCCTTTATCCGTGTGCCAGACATACTGTACCCACACATAAGTACTTGCCAGAAAGAACAACCAGTGCACAGGTATGAAAAAGTAGCACAACATGTCTGAAGTTAGCGCTACACACACAAAAAATATCGAAAAGGCCAAGCCTTGATATTTGAATGAGTCGTACACTGAACGGAGGAGTAAGTAGAATGGCCACAAGAATTCAAAACGGAATTCCAATATGAAGTCCGCCATTATTACTAAGGCCCACAGAATCACAAATTTCAAATACAGAAGTGTGCTGAAAATAAATATATTTATTAATAGTAATAATATCTACAATCAAATTTAAATTGAAATATTTAAACACAGTCAGATTATAATTATCAACCATGACCACCTGTTTTTACCACAAAATGATATAAAATCCTCCAATAAAAACTGCATGAAAAATATAAAAACTGAAATTTTAAGGAAAATATAGTATACATATATTATTCTCAATAATCATCAATTTGTTTCTTCAGTAACCACTTCAAAATCAGCCAACATTAAAAGTGTTTATGTAAAATTGCAAACACCAAATCAAAAAATTATTTTTGTCTGTGATTATATATATCGCCATCATTTCCATCAAGTGTTTATGAGGACTTTATTATGGCAACTGAAGATATTATTCAAAATAATGACTTTTCAATGTCCTATATAGTGGGTGATTTTAATCTGCCAAACATAGTTTGGGAGAACCAAGATCTAGGATCAAGTCCAGTTGATAATATTACAGAATCTGTTGAGTGTATGTCAAATTTTATTGCTTATTTTAACTTATTTCAAAATAATACAATATTCAATGGTTTAGGAGGTTATTTAGATATAATATTGTCAATAATGTGTAATGTCAAATAATGTTGTAAATGTCAAATGTGTTGATTTTCCTTTGTTAAACTGTGATAAGTACCATCCAGCACTTTCTTTCTGTATTGATTGTGATAAAACTGAGTTCCTTGAATACAATTATTATTATTATGATTTTAATAGGGCTAATTATATTTTAATAAACCAATTTTTAGGTAATGTAAACTGGGACAACTTACTCAACAATATTTCAGATGTTAATAAAGCAATATCCTATTTTTATAATATTTTGTACTGTTGCATTAGTACACTGTAAACTGTCAAATCTTTCGAAGAAAATGCTATTCTGAGAAAAAAGTACTTCATAAAAAATTCAAACAAACTAATAATTTTTCTGACTATAAATTATTCTCAGACATTTGTAGAGAATGTAAAGTCTTAGCTGAACAATGTAAAAGTCAAACCATAAAAACTTTGGAACAAAACATGACTAATTAAAAAGAATTCTGGAGTTATATACAGTAAAAATAAACATTATGACTTACCAAACAACATGACCTATGACAACAATGAGTCAAACAATTCATTAAAAATTTCAAATTTTTTTAAAGAGCATTTCACTAAGTCATATGTAGATAACAATAACTGTGATATTCCAAGCTTTGATTATAATCAAACAATTAGTTTAAGCAGCTGTGATATTAGTCTAATAGATATTTTTAATAAGTTAGAAAAATTAAATCTAAAACTTAGTAGTAGCCCTGATGAAATTTCACCTTATTTTGTACATAAATGTTATTTTGTTCCGTCTCCTGTATTACTAAAAAATTTTCATTTTTCATTAAGTACTGGCACTTTCCCAAAAGAGTGGAAAAAGAGTTATATTTCTCTTATTTTGAAGAATGGTAGTAAAACATGTATGGAAAATTACAGACTCATTTCCAAAATTTCTATTTTTCAAAGATTTTTAAGTCAATTATTGCTTAAAAAATCATTTTTTCAAATAAAAGTTTAATTATTCCTGAACAACATGGCTTTATGCCAGGTAGGTCTGCAACCACAAATCTAGTGGTCCTAGAAGAATTCATTTTGGATGCCTTTGGGAAGGGGGCTCAGGTTGATGTGATCTATACCTACTTCTCAAAGACATTCATTTGGGTTAACATCAAGATTCTTATAAAAAAAAAACTAGAAGCACTAGGAATTCACGGATCCCTGCTTGAGTGGTTGGAGAGCTACCTGACAGACAGGCTTCAGGTTGTCAAAATTAAGAACTATTTTTCTGAAGAGATTTTGGTTAGGTCTGGTGTCCCTTAGGGTGGTCACTTTGAAAATTTTTAGAATTATTAAGGTTGTTAGAGACTGTGTAAAAATGCAAAAAGATGTAAACAATTTCTCACAATGGTGTACAAAGAATGACCTTTCACAATATCGATAAATGTAAAATAATGAGCTTTTTTAGAAACTCACAACCTATCTGTTTTAATTACTCTATAAATAATATATTTCTGGAACCAACAAACACTTTCAAAGATTTCAGTGTATTTTTTGATCCCACTTTATGTTTCAAAAATGACTATAATTTTATTTGTAATAAAGCTTTTAAATTACTTGGATTTTTGAAAAAAACCTTTCCAGAATTCAATAACCTAGATTGTTTTAAAACGTATTGTTCTATGGTTAGTTCAGTTCTGGAATATTCCAGCACTATTTGGTCTCCTTTATATAAATGTCATATTAAAAGCATTGAGAAAGTTCAGACAACATTTTTGCTCTTTGTAGACTATAAATTAGAGATTTCTTCAGAAGATATAGTGTATTGTGACAGTTTTAAAATTACTTAATATACCAACATTAGAAAATCGTTGTTTAATGCTAGATTTGGTTTTTCTTTTCAAGATTGTAAACGGAATAATAGATTCGCCTCAAATTTTGCAGAGAATAGGTCTTAGGGTTCCTCAAAGGTGCACAAGGTCTAAGGACATTTTTCACTTAGAATTCCAACAAACAAACTATTATCTAAATAGACCTATAAGACGAATGTGTCAATCTGGAAATGGTGTAGATGTAGACTTTTTTTCTAGCTCTCTGAATAGTTTTCGAAAAAAGCTGAAAAAATCTTTTTAAAATACAATGTAGGCTGTCACTGTAAACTGGCATTTAGGTATTTATTCTATTTATTTTTCTTATGTAAATTGTATGTAATTATTATTGAGTTCTAAAACTGTTAATATGATATGAATTATTTAATGATTGTAATTATTATAATTGGTATAACCGTAAATAAACTATTTATTTATTTATTTATAAACAGATCTACACATATTATGGTTTCGTGGACAACAGGTGAAAGAAAATATACAGAGTAAACAAAAAAATTACTAAGCTTTAAATGCCATAACTGGCCTGCAAAATACAAGAGATACAAAAACAGGCATGACACAGTGGTTAGCCAGACTGACACAATATTTAGGTTGCCAGCATAAAAGCCCTCCATTGGAAGATCAAGCACAAAACCTTGCACAATATGTACAAATCTTGAGAACATTAGGGCTTTTATAAGCTGCCAATTTATAATAAAAACATTTTGATACAAAACTTAATCAAAGTCTATCAATGAAAGAATACAAAGGATATATGGAAAAATAATTAGTAAATTAGAATAGTAAATTAAACTTTGGAAAGAAATAAAACAAAAACAATGACAATATGTGGAATAGAATAAACTGCAAAATAATATACACTTAAGTAATAATAGAAGGAATGAGCTTTGAAAAAAATGCAAAAGTAGAACATACAATAATTTAGGAAATACCTGTATAAAAGAATGACTTAAATTACAAATAAATAAATGACTAAATAAAAAATTAAGAGATTCGTTCTGGAAAATATGTAAAGAATGACAACATAATACAAAAAAATACCAGAAGTAATATAAATTAACAGTTTTAATCAGTGAAATTGTTCCTGGATAAATAAATGAAAACCATGAGCCACATTCACCCCCGAAGGGTGATTGTTTAGTAGTTGTGAATGTATGTCAATTGGAGTGCATAAAAACGTGCTGTATAAGAGATTATACAGATATAAAAGTTAAAAATAAATTTTGTTTTGACAGTTATAATTCTAACCTAGGATGTTAATAATAACTGGTAATAATAGTTTAAAAATGATATAATATCTAATTGAAGTTGTCATAGTATAATATTACATCCCAAAGCTTTAATATGAAGGAAACAGACGAAAATTCAACATTTGTTTAGGGAAACCAGCCATTTTGAACCCACATATGGGATGAAAAAATATTAGACTGCAACTGTATTAACAGTTATTATATACACACAGTCACAATCTAAACACGGAAACGTACCTTCCGTAAAATCCTTCAGTAATTTTGTTCTTTTTCACGGGCCTTCTCATTTTAGCGATCTCAACATTTCGCCTCTTCATAATTTCACTCAAAACCTATCCACTAAAATGATTATTTTGCTCACTCCACTCAAGGATTTAAAATTAAACTTATTTCTTTCATGGATTTCTCGTCACAAAAACCTCACTTCTGTCGTAAAAATGTATTTGTTGTCAACTAAAGTTGTTACCAAAGAACGGAACAGACTCTTCAGATACGATATTTAGTAACTGTTCCGTGAATCCGTTCTTCGTTTCAAACTGAACTAAAACATCAATAAGGTCATATAGAGATTCGTGAATAGTGTCTGAATTTTTTTCTAAATTCCTTTTTTTCCAGTACTATTGGTTGATTTTTTCTAAAACATGCAATATTTTTTAAAACTCTAAAACAATCTTTTAGAGATCTATATGGTATTGTTTGTATATATTTAAACATTAGTATATTTTTACATTAAATAAGTTAAATGGTTAACCTGAAGGTGCGACTTCACATTTGCGTGATGGGTTTTTTTTGTGAATGAACATTAATTTATCTTTATAGAAACTCGTCATAACTCTTCATAATTCTTAATCTTATAGCAATTTGTGCATTGTACTGAAATCAATTAAATCTTGTTATGGTAGAAGGACTCTTCATTTTCTGTCGTGCCTCTGAATCTGTGAGGTCACTATGATTGAGACAACTCCGGATAATATTCAATACCGAAGTTTCATTTCTTCCTTCTGGCATGACTTACTCTAATGGTTCCTTAGGTTCCCGTGAATCAGAAAATAGACCAAGAACAAACAAAACCGCGATAAAGTTAAGCAATTATGGAAGATGGAATGGAGGAAAATGTTTATGTAGATATCTATACAATAGGTCTAAAAGCGTTGATTATCTTTAAATAAAACTGTTTTGCATAACTGGTTTAGAGCATCTTATAACAATGATATTCAATTGATGTTTAAAATAGAACAGTCATTCATTTAGTGCTCTAGTCTCTGATCTAGAGATATTTTTGTCTCTTGATATTACTTTGTATAATGACCTCAAGTGGTTCTAAAATGTTTTTGTTAATTCCATTCAGCTTATCCAGTATCCAGCTTATTCAATTATCCTGGTGCTATGTGACATTATTTAATATCCAAATGAACACATGTATATTTTTTAGATTTTACAATTCTATATCAAGAATAATAGCTCATGAAATATTATCATCATCATCAGTGGCATTACAGCTCGCTATGAGCCAAAGCCTTCTTCAGAACAATCTTCCATTCGCCCCTGTCTCTGGCAACTCTTCTCCATGCTTTAACTCCGATGGATTTTAAATCATCCTCAATGTATGTTAATACTTAAATTCCTTATTAATGTCTTGTACATTTAAATCTTTGAGTTTTTTGAATACATTTTTATATTTTTATTTCATGAACTTCTTTGAGTAACAATCTAAATTTATTGACAGGAATATAATGTTGATGATTTGTTTGGCGTTATGCAAATGACAAAATCCATATTTTATTTATTTAAAGTTCCAATATATTTCAGCATGGTAATGGGAATAAAAGTTTGACAGAATAATATAAATCAACTCATGTCAAGTAAAAAAAGGAACAACTATACATAACAATATCAATCTTAAAATAAAAGTCTCCTGAACATATTTGCAGGAAGCGGTGAACGGTTCTGACTCTTTACAGATTTATCTGTGCAGTATCATCTCTATTATTACCTCATATGTTTCTGTTGCGCTATCACAGAGGACGCTACTTTAAAGATTTTTTAAAAACATTTGCACTCATTTTGCCGGTCGGTGCCCTATTATTAAGTAACAGCAAATGTGTGTTAGTAGAAAGTAGAAAGGGACAATGTGAAATGCGATTATAAATATTTGATATACCTGTAAAATTCCAAATTAAGCTCAGAATTTAGGAACACACAATCTAAAAACAATGTTATATAATTGTGCAGATATTAATAGAAGTTAAATCACAAATTAAACATTATAACTTACAACAAAATAATTATATCATTTATTTATTACAATGATAATGATTATATACATTACAAACATATATATTATTCTTCCTTAATTATAATCTTTGTTATATTTTTGCTATTTTTTTATAGTACACTTTTTTGCTAGTATTACGAGCTAATTGACTGGTTAAATCTCTATTCTTTGGCAGGTGGTTTTTAGGTGAGTTTATAAATATCTTATTTATATTTTTGTTGAGTGTATTAGACAATAAAAAGCGATATTATATTTTTATCGTCTTAAGTATCTTGTATATTTCGTCTTAACGTCTCTTATCTTCTTCGTAGTTATAAAACGATGAAAAGTATCATGGCTAAGAGAAAATTCAATTTTAAATCTCTTTCGAAAAAAGTTGGTCTTTTTTATTTTAATGAGATATTTATTCTCCACTATTATGCTCCAAGATTTTTTATTTGTTAATTGAACGCCCATCTCTAATCAAGTTGCGGGTCGATCTGTAAACGATCGTTTTGACAGAATGACAGAAAGTTGAAACAGTTTGCTTGACAGTTCAAACTTGACAACACAAAGTTGCTATCGTTTTTGATATAAATTTTTTGGTTAGGAATTTGGTGAAGAGTTAAGTATTGCCATTGCCAGTCTTCATATTTTCCTTATTCCTTACGGTTTTAGCGAACAATGTCTGTTGGAGAAATAAAGAATGTTGATGCTATTTTGAATAAGCTGTCTCTTAACGAAAATCCCAATGAAAATATCAAATACCAATTTGTTTCTGTATTTAAAGTAAGCACTTATAAGGACTTTTTATATCATATTCTTAATGATACTTTTTTTAGAATCCTAGTAAATTACCAATTAATCAAATACATCTGGAAAGAACTTGGTATGAGTTGAAGAAAGACATTCCAAAAGATTTGGTAAGTTGCAACATATTTTGCAAATAGATATAGTGTTAAATATGTTATGCTATATTGTATATGTAGGTATTAACTAGAGAAAGTATAGTTAACAATATTGCTATTAATTTTTATCATCAATGATAATATCAATTGCTAGTTACCAACTTGCAATAAATATAAATTATTCTTAGATAGTAGGGGATTCCCACAATAAGGTTTTCTTTCTTGGTTCTTGGTATATAATTAAATTATGTATTATAAAACATACTGTCATGGAGAAAATTTAAATGTAATAAATTAGAGGTTGTAAGATTCTAGGCAAAAGTTTTAAGTTTCCAGTAAAGCTAGGACATTATAGTAAGGCATATTGACAAGTAATGTAGAGGCATATGCCTCTATATTCCTTGATGGTACCAAACCGAGTACAATGTTTAAGCTTCTGTGTGTCATTATAAATATAATATTATATTACAATAAATACATGATATATAAATATTTATTATCTATTATTAAAAGAATATTATTATTTAAAAAAAGTATAATTTACTATATCCATCCATGTTTGATGGAGTTCAATAATTATTTTACATTAGACATAAGTTAAAATATCACAGAAAGGTATATTTTATGTGATGCCATGTATATTCAGTAAATTATAAATCATCTTACATTTTTTGTTGAAATGTTCATTATGCTACTGCTTTGAAGTCTTGTTTTTGTGAGTTTTTAAACCATGCATCGATAGATATATAATAATATACAAATTATCACTTGTCAAACCAGTGTTGTTGTGCCCTAACTCTATTTTACTTTATCTTTGATATTTTTGAACAGCTGATAACCCTATTTTGTGAAAGAATACAGTAAAAGTAGGTAATTGCTTTTCTCACAATATGTGTCATCCTTAGGAGTCCCACATGGGAGCAAACTAGGACCATTGCTCTTTATTTTATTTAATAATGACTTGCCAGACTGTATTAAATCTTGTAACAGCTTAATGTATACTGATGATTTTAAAGTTTTTAGGACAATCTCTAATAAGAAAGATGCAGTCAAATTGCAAGATGATCTAAGATCAGTTATTAAATGGTTTAATGATTCAAAAATGACTTAATGTTAAAAAGTGTGCAGTAGTTTCATATACGCGAAAACTCAATAGTGTTATTGAAGATTATTATATTAATGATGATTGAGTTAACAGAGTGAGTGTTATGAAGTATCTTTGAGTTAAATTCCAAAACAACATGAAGTTCAATATACACTTTTATGAAATAACTAACAGAAGTTATCATGCTTTGGGTTTTGTCATTAAAAATAGCAAAAACTTCAAAATATGCACAATTATAAAACTCTATAATCCCCTGGTGAGACCACATATGGAATATGCTTCAATCATCTGGTTTCTTACTGCATTTTCAAACTCAAAAATGATTGAAAAAGTGCAGAAACAATTTGTAAGATTTCTATATGTAAGAAAAAATAAGAAATATCCATATGTGGTCTCATACAGGGTAATGTTAGACTCATTTCAGTTGCAGTCACTTCCCACTAGAAGAAACAGTCAGGCCATTATGTTCATATACTTGATTGTTAACAGTATTAAGTACACAAACGTGGTTTAATTGAGTTTATTTACTTTAGACTACCCAAGAGTAGGTTAAGGATAACTAACCTAGATCTATTCTTTACAAATTACTATAAAAACATATTACCAATAAACAATATGTTAAAAATTTTTAATGAAGTATTTAATAGACTGACTCATGTGGATATATTTAATGCAGAAAGCTGTGAACCTAAGACCTTGCTTGTTCATCAGCACTAGGTTTAAGGGGTTTATTATATAACACAATGACGGTATTAGATTTTGATTCGATACAGAGAGCAACAAGCCGCATATACATATTTCGACCTCTTTAGGTCTCCTCAGTACGGTATAGCTACTACTCTGTATCGAACCAAAATATTTTCCCGTCGTAGACCATAGTTATTAAAAATAACTATGTACAGACCTAACCTTTGTTCTTAAATGGCGTAGTTACGTCTGTACATAGTTATTTTTAATAACTATGGTCTACGACAGGAAAATATTTTGGTTCGATATGGAGTAGTGGCTATACTGTACTGAGGAGACCTAAAGAGGTTGAAATATGTATATTTGTTGATTTATTTCTTTACTTCGTTTGGAGTACCAGAAATCGAATTCACTACAAATATTGGCCATGATGAACGGCATTTGGAATGCAATTTTAGATTCCCTTGCCGATTTATTCATCAAGCTGTTTGCTTCGCAAGTTTTAGGAAGCACGGTGGCTGATATTTGAACTCGATTTCGCCAGGTAGAAATCGTATGATTTCGTTTTTTGGTTTATTGTATTTTTTTCTTATTGTATTATTAATGTTTGTTTCTTTCATTTATCGAATTTTTTTTTGTCTTAAACACTTTACATGCAATTGCTATTAGTCTATAGTGTTTGTAAAGTTGTTGTTAAAGATAAGTATCAAACAAATGAGAATATTATACATATGATAACTGTTACTAAAGACTTAATATATTTGAAATTTAAAAAGCTGTGAAAATAACAAGCTGTTTAAAGAAGATTAAACTTCAAAACTAGTCAATTTTTTATTTGCAAATAATACAATTTAAATAAGAAATATTATTAATAATAAGCAAATGTACTTAAGAGTTAATATTGACTTGCATTGCCATAGGTTTTTATCATTTTCAGTTATTATCATGACTCACAGATGGCAGGGCTAGTTATTGACTGTTATACATATTTGGCTTATAGACCTTTGACCTACTTCACATGACAAACCCAAATTCTAGTTCCACTTATTATCATGTCCCACACAACATAACAAAAAGTTGATTACCTCATTATTTAATGATTACAAAACAAAGATAATAAGGAATTAAGTTATGTAGCAAGAATTATAAAATTATTGAACAAATTGTTGATGGTTTTTATTATATATAAAAATGATTTTAGGATCTATTCGCTGCATCCGAAGATGAACTTCAAAAAAGTTATATGACAAGAAAACTGAGATCATACCTGCTTTGGTTAGTATAAACTAGTTTACATTATTTACTTACATATTTTGCGTTGTAAATCAGAAAACAAGGAAAAGAGTAGTTATCATAAATTTCTTTGCTCGCATTCATTTATCCAATTATTCTTGTACATGTATCTTTAGAAAAAGGTGAGTAAAACTTTTTATCTACCTTACCTATTGTGTTTTAATTCCTTCTCAAGAGAAAGACTTGCAAATGTGATTTCTAAAATGTTTCCTCATACTAGTTGTTCTTTTGCACATTTTCATAGTTTTTGCATTTGAAAGTTAAATGTTATTAATAATTGTCTTTGTTTTTAGGATAAACGATGGCTACCAAAAGTTATTTTATATAACTATGAGCCCTATGTATTTACCGAGTCAGAAGAGGAGAATATAGGTTTCATAACCAACAATGTTCATTTTATAGACAGTTTACAGTATTTACTAAAGTGCAACTTTCATCAATTTTGGTGTACAATTTTGTTTGAACCATCGGCTGCTGTTTCATTGCGTAGTTTTATTTTGAATCCTGTTACTTCCCATCAGTTGGCATATTTAGAACATGAATATGCTGATGTTTATAAAACAGTATTTAAGACGTTTCTATTAGTATATCGAAGACTGGTTACATTTAAAGTATCAGAAGTAAGTACCTTTTGAATGGTTTTTATATACATATTTGGAATTTATTTATTTATTTATTTATTTATTTATCAACGGGCAATCGCCCAATTAAAATACAATGGATACATTATTGATAAATTACAGAAGATTCTTAACATAACCTACTTAAATTAAATTTAAAAATTTTAATCATACAAAAAAATGTAGGAACAGTAAAAAGCAAACATTAATAAATAATGTACCTACGAAACACAAGGACATCAAGCTATCACACACAGTTTTTAAATTGAGCTTTAAATTCTTTTGAAATATTATAACAATCCAACCTTTGGGAATATTGATTAGCAAACCTTGGAGTGTCTGTAGTTTGTGCGATAGGGTTGTTGTAAAAACAACCTGTTTATAATATTGTATTTAGTTATTTTATCAACTTGTTCGTCAGCCCTCGTGTTAATGTGTTTGCGACTCTCTCCGTCATAATCCTTCCTCACCCCGTCTTAAAGGACTTAGCTTAGGACAAGAACAATGCGAATTTACCTCTCGGCAAGTGAAGACGGGGCTGTCGATCCCCAAAAGTTCGTGATGCGTAAGTAAAAACGCCTTGTAGAACCGGTGTTTTGTGTTAAACCGTAAAACGTTTTGTTTCTCTCTGTAACTCGATGTATCTTTGTTATTGTCTCCTAGCACATAAAGCTAATGATATTTGTACAACTTAAATATCAAGTTAAATATCGATAGCAATTCAAGTAAACTATAGGTTTGTTCTAGCAAACAGACAAACTAGTCAGAAACCGTCAGCAAACAGTTGGTCAGCGAGAGAAAATAATACAGTCACCAGTGCTATATCCCCTCTACTCGCACTGGTCCACTATTCACTGATGGTTTCAAACCATTTGAAACTGATGCTAGAACAAACCTAATATAACCCAAGCTTAATCAAGCCATTCAGAGCGATGCTGAGAATATTAAAATTCCACTATGCATCAACAATTTACCCATATAAACTACTATCATTTTTGTACTCATTGCGTCGAGTAAGCACAATAACAAAATAAATGACGGTTGCGTTTCGATTTAATTTGAGTCTCTTACCACTCCCTGACACGTGTTTCTGGGTCTGCCCGTCATCAGGAGTTTGTAAGAAGACTCCTTACAAACTCCTTCTTTGATTTAATTTGAGTCTCTTACCACTCCCTGACACGTGTTTCTGGGTCTGCCCGTCATCAGGAGTTTGTAAGAAGACTCCTTACAAACTCCTTCTGATGACGGACATACCCAGAAACACGTGTCAGGGAGTGGTAAGAGACTCAAATTAAATCGAAACGCAACCGTCATTTATTTTAATTTGTACAACTCTTTTTAGTCTAATCAGAATTGCGATAATTATCAATGTTGAATCAGCCCTATAAGTTCACTATAAATAAATCGAAGGAAAAATATGTCTTAGTGTTTTATTGCTTCAGTGGTCCTTGATAAATATTTTGAAGCAATTGGGTGTTCACTGCACCTCTCTTAAATGTGGAAGGTTTGGTAATAAAGTTATCCTCTCCACCCATCTTTTGGTTCTTCGACCCGAATATTGTTTATTGCATATCTGCTCGATTTATCTTCATAAATCAATTATTAATTTTCTCTCATTTAATTCTCGTAAATATCTCTTAAATATCATTAGACGTGCTCTCCGAAAAATAACCATTTGCAGGTAGAATATCGTAAGTTTTACCCGAAACCTTAACTCAAGAGTCTTGAGACAATAATTCTTAGACCGCCCGTCGCGTTACCTCGTAAAAGTGAGTGGCTAAGAATAAACATGTTTTGTGACTATGGATTAATTTCGATTGGGTGAGTTTGTTCCAAGATATTTTGATCATAACGCGTACAGGGATTTTAAAAGTTCGAACTCATATTTTTAGTATACAGGGCGAGTTTATATTTCGATTTAGTCGTTCGAATACGAGTTAGGGTCAAAAGATATTCCTACGCTAAATCAATTTTTTGATTTTTTAGAGAAAAAGTGCGACATTATGGAAAAGTTAAACTCCTCAGATTATAACGATAAAAAAATTAGTAAAACTCCTTCTAAAACGGCTCTTCGGCAAATAATAAAAATAACTTGTACTCCAAAACATGCGTCTTTTGTAATAATGCTCCACACACTATTTATGCATGCACTAAATTTGCTAATCTTCTCTTACAGGATAAGTATAAGTTTGTTAATGAAAACAAACTATGTCGCAACTGTTAAGGAACTAAAAATTTTTCACAAAATTGTTCGTCTCAACGTTCATGTGGTATATGCAAAAAAAGGCATCATACACTCTTGCACAATGACCATGAAAATAGCTCTTCTCCTAATAGATCCTTTCAAACACATAATCACTCTCGCAATGTTCAAAACACTTGGTCTGATAGTGAAGCCGGTCCAAGTAATTATGTCTCTCTCTTTCTCTGAACCTCAATCTTTTCAGGTTTCGAATGCAATGACCAATAGTTGAGGACCAACAATAATAGAGTGCAGTTTACTACAAAACATAGTGAGATCTTTGTGCATGCCTCGGATTTGGAGAGAAGTTATGTTAAGGGACCTTCCCATATTTGAATAGTTAATTTCTTCAATCCTCTGGTTTTGTTTAAATGCAACAAATCTTAAGAATTTGTGTTGAACTCTCTCAATAGCTCAATATTGAGGAGACCAAACACATGAACAGTAATCTAGGTGGGGTCTCACAAGTGAACAATACAAAATTTTTATGGATGGGATATTTAGAAAGTCTTTAGCACAACGTTTGATAAACCCTAAAAGTTAAAGTGATTTTGAGACAACAGATGAGATATAGGGGATGTAGGATAAGCTGGAATCGAGCACAACACCTAGGTCTTTTATCTGAGATACAGAGTCTAAAGGGCAACCATTAATAGTATACATATGATTTGTAGACCTTGGTGACCATTCGATGGGCCCCCTTCTTCCTATCCACGTACCTGGGAAAACATTATGAAGGTAATTTCGTACCTCAACGCTGTAGTGTGGGGGAGCTCCATCATGTTGGTACCAAAAATTATTTATATTTGGAAATAGCTGATTCAGCTGTGGCGATAATCCTGAAGAAATTCTAGATAACGAGAAGCAGTTGTTTTCCTTAAAAAATATGACCCTACAATTTGATGGTTTATAGTGCCGGCCCAAACATTCACCTTCTCGGGATATTGTGTCCTATTCCATCCAATTTGGATTTTCACTTTCCCAGTATCGATATGTCTGGAGATTTACGTGACCGTTCAGCATAAAAGACGCTTCATCAGAAAAAAGTACCTTTTGTATGAAACCCTGATCTCTGTTACATTTTTCCATAACGGTTTCGCAAAGTTCGATTTTTCTATCAAAGTCATCTTCTAACAGCTTCTGGACCAGATGTACTTTGTATGGATGCCACTTCTCCTTTTTTTGCAGTCTTACAACGGTTGATTGGTGGACATTGTGGTCTAGTGCCACCTGTCTAGAACTGGTATGGGGATTTTCTTGAAATGCCACTACAACGTCCAGTTTCTTGGCTTCGAATATTGATTTTCTACTACTTCTGGGAAGATCTTTAACATGGCCCGTTTCTCTAATTTTTTTTTCAATTTTACTTACTTTTGATTGAGTAATTGGCTCGCGATTGGGGTATTTAGCATTAAATAAATTACAAACTTCTGCTTGGGTCCTCACTCTATCTCCATAACCAATCATGATTAAAATATCGATTCGTTCTATTTCTGTTAGTTTCATTTTTGTAAATGCTGTTTTGTAATGTAATGCAAAAAACTCGAGGAGTAAAAATTTGACATCTATTCTTTGACAGATTCATAGATCATTGACAAGTAAAGACGAGTCAATGACAATATTGATTTAAATATTTTTGAAAAATAACTTGGAATACTTACTACAATAATTAATTTCAGATTATAATGTAGCATTGTTTGTTATCAATATATTTTTTTTCGGAACCAGGCAAAAACACTATTTTGTTTTATTCCCAGTGGTGTTCCTTAGTGTATTTTACTTCAGTGAATAAATATTTATTGTAATTCCATGTTACTTGACAAAGTTCATCATTTTGGTGAACCCTATAGAAATAAATATTCAAAAGTCGTCTGTTTCTGAAATAATGAATTTATTCCATACATTTGCATCATACTGTATACTAATGTAACATATAAAACCAATGTTCATTTTAAATTATTTTTAGTCCGAATATATGCCAAAGGATTATGGATACGAACAATTATTACACAAAAAGTTAATAAATTTACCAGTAGTGACTACATTAGCGTTGTTATATAAAGAATCGAATGTTGATTTTGTGAATATTTTGACATCTTTGTATTTCGACAACACATCTCAGCTGGATTTTAGGTTCAAGGAAATAGAAGAATCGATCAATCAAACATTACTGGTATGTATGCGTATATTTAGGTATTTTTTTTTGTTATTTATTTTGAAGTCTCTAATTGACAATCTAATTCAGATGGAGCTAATATAGTTTTAGTCAATGGTTATAATATAATTGTATATTCATGAAAACGGAGGACATTTTGAACACTTCCTCTAATTGAATTTTATTTTATGTTCTTAGTCTTTATTTTTATTTTCTTCTTTTGATTTTTTTTTAATTAATAACTTCATCATTATTTTATACTAGCATTATATACCCAATCATTTTTCAGTTTCTTACCTATTCTAGAGACGGTGTTATCTTTTATTGAAACATCCTGTATGTATTACCAACATTTGAAAGCAAAAAAACACTTCCGACGAAAAAGAAAACATCTGTACCTCTACTACACTTACTTTTAGTTGTTTACTCTACTAATATACGTGAATTATTTACTCTGGATCACTTTAACGGGTTTATTTTTCATATAATGGCACGAACGGAATGGAAACATTGGAAATATTTGATTTCACTCGCCATTACTCTATATTGAGTCACGTGATATGGTGTATATTGTGTTACCTGCCTGAACAAAGATTTAAAAACACTGAATACCAATAAATGCGAACATTTTTCGTCTAAATAAGAGCCAATAATATATACGTCTCGAGAGCGATGAAAGGGTTATTTCTGCTCATACGGAGCAGTTCTCTTGTTTTCCTTGTACAGTACACAAAGAACATTTTCCCATGTGTTTGTTTTGTAATTCTCTCTCAATATCCCCTCATTTCTTTCTCGGATCTAGTCAGCTACGGCCGTGCGGGCTGCAGCCTTTGGTGCTTTCAGGGTCACTGCTAATCCTTTTGGTTCTTTCAATCTTCATTTAGTATGTTGATCTACTTTTGCGTTGCGTTTATTCAGTTCTCCGATGTAATCCCACACCAGCCTGGATGTCACTTCCTAACACGCTAGTGCTTTCAGTGCCGCTTGACTATCTAACAATATATGGATCTGCTCTTCTTGTGAATCATTAAAATAGAAAATGATACGAATCTGGAATAAATAAAAACCTGGCAAAAATGTCATCGTTTTAAGACATTTACAGTTATAAGACATTAGTGTCTACAATTTTGAAACTATAATATAGATGGGTTATCTTATACTTATCTTTGTCTTCTTTATGGATATGGATGTTTCCACTGTTACTGTGTGTTTGAGAACTATATCTCCAAACCAATAATTCTATTTTGTATCAAATAATTCTATTTTCGCGTCGGTTACCTAAATAAATCCAGTCTACCTAGACCTTGTTTCTGAGAATGTTAATCCCCGCCCACAGCGCCTACGTGACGATAGACCGGCTTTTCAAAATGCATAAACAAAAAAATATTCCGGCGGGGCGAGGGAGGCGACCAGTCGACACCTACAGTGATTTAGCGACTTTCGTAGGGCTAACATCTGTATTTCAAAAGTTCGGAGAGGATTCTCCACGTTGTAGTTTACGCAGTTGGCCGGGAAGCCGTAATATGTGAATAAGTGTTATGGTGTTTTCGCTTTCGTTCGGAAATTGTAATATTCAAATTAAGTTCCTACGATAAGTTACACACTCAAATTTTATAAGCTCTATTTCTTGCCCTTTCTTTTTTCAATTAGAGTTTCTTTCTAAACAAGTAATTGTTTTATTTCACTATATCAATTCAACAGGCCAGATAAAAGCAACTTTGAAAGTCCATTTTAGTTTCTCTACTGAGCTGTCGAAGGCTAGCGGACTAATTGGGCTTACAGCAAGAACAAAACCGCTGAAAGAGACACTGTTGCATATAAGCCTCTCCATGGAAGGGATGTTGTAAACCGGCACCCTCCACTGTGTATGAAAACACTATGATATGAAAATCATTATTATTTGTGCATGGTGCGTGGTTATCAGCTCGAGGGCTACGGGGCTGGTGAACTCCCGTCGATGTGAAATGTATACTAGTTTTTTAAGTAGAGCCACGTTTTAGGTATAAATTTTTCTAACGGAGCAGTATCTAATTAAAAATGAATATGTTGCTTTGAATTGGAATCCACAGGAGAATCGATTACGCCAATAAAAAAGTATAAATACGGTAAATATATGTCTTATGTCTCGGCGACGCTCATTCATTGATTTCTACAGAAAGATGTTAAGATTCTAGAGAACATAAACATATACATATTATTATTTTTAGGTTATGGAAATGATTGGAGGACACGTCTGTGGTTTTAGTGAGGGTGCAGTAGTTGTCCCAATAGCTATAGGTCCACGTCCACCAGTATTTGATTTGAATTGGATTTATTCAGTGGTCAATTATCTTTTAAATACAATGGCCCTTCTACATACGCTTTTGGAATTTTATAAACCAGCAATAGAAATGTGTATAGAAAAAGATTTGCCTTTTAGGTAAGACGATGTTTGTATCTTTTGTTTAAAATACTTGTTTTTAATTTTTTTTAAAAACCTCCGTTATTTTAAAAAGGATTAAATTTTTTCAGCGCACACTTCTAACTCACCTTGGTGTTTGATTTCATAAAAAGTTTTTAGATTGATTTCGTAAATTTTCCACCATCTATCTGGCGTACTGATTTTAAAGATCAAGTTCACTTGATCACATTGATACCAAACAGTAACTTGGATATGAATGGATAACATATAGTAATGGATGTTAAATAGTTTGTTTTGTTTTAGGATACCTTTTACATACGTAAGCATTTACAGAGAACTCTATGAGTTTATTAGTGATAGAGAAGACTTAGAATTACAAAAAACACTGTCTGAGAGGGTATTCGATGAAATTAATATAGGTCGTGCGGAATTTGTTGATGTATACCACTTATTTGTAACCCATTGTTTGGATAAAACTTTGGAATGCATGTAAGTATCAATATTATAATTTGCTTATTTTGTCTGTATTTCCGCAATGAAAACCCCAGCGCCACCTATCCACAAAAACTACTACTAACTTTAATAATATATAGTTTGTGTACGTCATATGTCATTGGATTTTTATAAAGAAATATTTATTAAATAAATATTTTAATTTAATAAAGAAATAACGTTGTTTATAAAGAAATAAATGCTTTGGAAAATGGATTGGAGCGTGTGATGCGTTAAATGAAAGAGGAGGGGTTAACGACTATCTTAAGATAGAAAAAAAAAAACGAACTAGGCACCAAAAGGGCGTATACCATATCTTCGTTATTGCTGAAGGTAAAGCAACGTACGAGATATCACATGACAGTATCAATATACACAATTTTCTTATTCTCCCTGTCTGTATGTCTGTCCGTAACGAAAACCCCTATATGCGACGGCATTAGATCCTATACAAGGTGTTTCAAAAAAAGGTAACCCCGTCTCTAGGGTAGGTAAAAAACTGAAAAATAATTGGGGTTTGCTTAGTAAAAAATTTTTGTAACGCCATCCGTTTTCAAGATACAGGGCGTTGAAGAAAAAAATTAACTCATTTTTTTACGATTTTGCCGAAACTACTGGCTAATAAAATTTTATACGAATATGTTTTGGAATCTGATACATCTCATAAATTTGTTTTTATATCTGAATAATAAAAATACTAAGTATTAGTTAATATAACTTTTTTAAGAGTATAATTATTAATCAAAATTTCAAGTAAACAGCATTCAAAGTTCTTTTAAATTTGAATGATGTTTAAGTTTACTTGAAATTTTGATCAATTATTAAAAAAAGTTATATTGACGAATATTTAGTACGATCCGTGTAAGTAGCGCCCTCTATGAGAATCAGATATAAAAACAAATTCATGAGATATTCGTATAAAATTTCATTACAATGTTGCTAGTAGTTTCGGAAAAATTGCAAAAAATGCGTAAAACTTTTTTTTTCTTCGACGCCCTGTATCTTGAAAACGGATAGCTTTACAACAATTTTTTACTAAGCAAACCCCAATTATTTTTCAGTTTTTTACCTACCCTAGAGACGGGGTTTACCTTTTTTTGACACACCCTGTATATGTTATTGTTCATCGGATTGGAGCATGTGACGTGTTAAATGAAAGTGGAAGGGATACAGATAAAAAAAACAAAGCATCATACATTCTAGAGTCCCGATACGTTAGAATCTGGCCACATTCTAGTATTTATATAATTTTTTTTTGAGAATCTTAGGATTTTCGTCAACTTTAAATAATATACAGGGCACATTTATACAAAATATTAAGTGAATTTGAAATACCGTCCAAATTAGTTTGGTTCATCCAAATGACGATAATGGACACAGTGACTCAGATACAGATACCACGCGAGATGACAGATCCATTTCAAATAACACAAAGATTAAAATAGAGTGATAGGCTGGTACCAACACTGTTTAATTTAGCACTAGAATACGTAGTTAGAAAAACATCAGAAGGTAGAACGACACATTTATTGGCATTTCGTCATCGGAAAGTTGTGTTTCATCGTTTTTATGCTTTCACACTCTTGGAAGGTGGTTGATCATCTGGAAATCCAGTCGTATTCTTGTGTATTTTGTTTGTAAAATGTTTGTCGTTTAAATCTAGTTTAATAAGTTAGTAAAGTAGTAGCTGGAAGCAAAAACTATACTTTACCGTTAAAATTTGTTTTTGTATAATAAAGTATTTGAACGTTTTAGGGGTGATGACAAGAAACAAGAAGATTTAGTAGAGTTGTATTTAAAATTGATGACTGTAGCCCTTGAGGACGATTACTTTATCTGTGATTATAACATGAAATATAACGTTTCTAACCAAAATGAAATGTTTTCTAGTTGCACCTTAATGTATCCTTTTTAATTATGATTTTTTTAATGCTAGACGTAAGTACAGGTTTTTATTGTAAGAGTGTGAGACTATAGTGTAATAAAACCTACTTTATTTATTGATGCGCACAACAGACCTTTCAAACTTAGGACATTTTTATAAAATACAATCATAAGATTCACTATAGATTGTTTCAAAGTGACTAGTATTAAAATAAACGTCACTTTTTACTACTTAGCCTAATCCATCTTTTGTGTTGAGGGTAGCTTAAGTTCTAATGCCCACCAACGACCCTGCCTGGCTTCCTTCTGTCAGTGGTTCTCAAACATGAATAATATTTGCTAATACTTGGGTTAAATTAAAATAAAATAGAAATTAAGAAATGCCTTTTATTTATGTCACACAAGCAGTTTGTTTTTAATTCTACTATATGTGCTAGCGATTCAAACCATTTGTTTCAGGACTCAAGACATTCTGTCCTGTTTCAGGACATTCAAAGGACTTTTAAAAATCGCACTGTATAAGTTGAAAATAAAAAAAGTCATTGTATTTAATTTCATGTGTAAGTAATCGTAATTGTACACCATTATATTTAGTTCCTTTTTCTGTCAATCACTGTCACATTTAGTTTCTGCTTAGCTATCATCATCATCATTATTATCGCCACTGTCATCACTATCTTGGCATAATTGCAGTATTTTCTTTACCAGACAGCACCCAAATACAGGTTTTTATATTTTCAGCATTTACTTTACCATGTACCGGGTTTCTCATTATATTTTGACCCCCACTTATTTTCCGTAATTTCGGGAATACAAAAAAAGTTTCAAATAAAAGTTGTATTATTTTATGTATACCGACCAACAATGTAGCAACAGACCAAATTTTGTATACACGGAGTACCCAATAAAATGCATCTTCAATATTTCAAATGGGACACCCTGTATTTTTTTATAGTTTGGAGCCCTGAATTTCCTGATTACCAATATATAACATTGTGTAGCATTAGTTTTGTTCTATAATGGCATATGGCAAGGCTGCCGGTCTAGTACAATTGTACTATTTCTAGTACATTTTTAGCACATGAGTACAAAAGTACATTTTGTAAATTATCCACCCATTTCTAGTACAATTATTACACAATCTGTTTTATTCACTTCATACGGCTAAGATATATAAAAATGTCAATTTTTGTAGTTTATGAAATAATTTTTTATTCCGTTTATTTTTCTTTTTCATGTAAAGATAGAATGCATATTTCGCTGTCATTTTTTAGTCACGGCTGAAGTTAAACAAGATTTTAGTTCCTTACTGTACCACTAGGGAGCGGTCATGTGAGCGGTATCATTACTTTTAAAATATGAAAGAGCGGGGAACAATAATGCAACTTTAGATATTTTCTTATGCTGCCGCTGGTCGTTTGCATTAAATGCTTTCATTTCAACTTTTAATAAGTGAATCTTTTTAGAAAAAATATTGTAATTCAAATTTTTAATAATATGTACAAATCTACAAATAATATAATTAAAACTCTGTTTTTATAAAATATAAATAAAATTAATGAAAAGTCAATCACTAAGAGAGAAAGCCCAAACAAATTCTACTTTGTTTAAATAAAAAAAAAACAATTCCAGATCTCGTTAGTACGCTAGAATATATTTTTAACACATACACCAAAGAATTATTTTTACAATTTGAAAATTTTAAATTGTAAAGTATAATTTCGGATTTTAAAATTAAAAAAATTATAAATAAGTCAAGTAAAAATACCTCTCCGGATTGCAACAAACAAAGATGAGAAAAGAGGCAAAAATGGCTGCTGGTCCCCCTCGCAACACATTTGCTAAAAAACCAAGGGGCTCTAACTAATCAACATGACCTAATACTCAAACTACATCGGTATACTCAAGTATACCTGATCAATAACAAACTGGACAAGCAGTTGATGATGCTCTTATCGGAGGTCACAATGAACTTCTACAGTTCCATAAAAAATATCGTCTAGCCAAAGACCCTGTGGGTGAACTGTGTTAACGAGTATACAAAAAATGAACTACTGAAATGCTGAGGACTATGTGGGTGGGAGCAAACTTAAATATAGTTGATCTCAATAATATGCCCAAGCCTCCCCTGATCCTCACCCGCGTCCACGACAAAGAATAGGATAAAGAAATCATCAGGATCTGTCTAAAGAGGCAAAATCAAAACCTTAAGATAGAAGACTGGTTGTTTAAAAATCGAAAGATCGGGGGGACTCACAAACCCTAGTCTATACAATTGACGAGGTCTCGTGTAAAGCATTGAGGGCTGCTCATTTCAAGGTATATAATAAACTTGGAAAGGTATCCTTTAAGACAATCAGAGACCTCAATGGCTTCAATCAGAATCCTATAAGCTAATTTCGAGGATAGTAAGATAGCTTCGGAAGAACTTATTGTTGTCATGAGAAGGTTCAATGTAGTTGTGATACAAGAGCTCAGGGTTTGCAAGGACAAAGTAACAGGTTTATCGTGGAGAGCTTATAAATGACCGATCTGCCAAAGTCCCAAGGACCTATCTGATCTAGTAGGGCACTACAAGAATTAATGAAAGTGGTGAGCATTACTACAGATTGTTATGGAACATCACTTAGACATACTAAACGTAGAAAACAAATCAACTTTCGTAACTTCACAAAAAAAAGGAGGCAATTAACAACAATGGCCGCAACTAACATGGCTGGAATTGTAAAAATGGCATGTTTTAGACAAGGTGTGTAGTTCAGACCATCGACACATCTGTTTTGAAATAACAGGCAATAAGCCAATCAAGAAAACTGAACGTAATCCTCGTAAAACAAACTGGGATATGAAGCAGACCTGGTATAGTGTTTAGGTGGGATTAAAGGGATGATAAGGCATACATTGGACCTAGACATGAACAGTTTTATGAACTTGTCGTGTCAGCATTTGAAGATAACGGTCCGGAGATATTGAGGAAACTCTTGCAAAACAAAAGTCAGACGAAAATTTAATTTTTCCAAAAGATCAGGTGAGAGGGACGTATTCTTAATTCAAAGTTAGAAAATTGTATTTGCATGTAATAAAGAAATAAATACTTTTATTATTGAAATTTTCATCCCCTATTAAGTTTTAAAATTAAAAATTTAACAATTTAATATATTCAAAATTAAGATGTTATTATGAAAAAAAACAAAATACCAGTTTGCAAATAAATGGCATCGAAATTGTATTAAGCATATATTATAATATATGTTTTATTTCAAATTTCCCGCCTTTTCCCCTACTATTCCACATTAATTTATTCATTGGGTACAATCAATGACGTCATTGGGTACAATCTTGTACATTTTATAAATAATTCTAGTACATTCCCAAATGTTTTGACGGCAGCACTGGCATATGGTACTAACAAAAGGTTAACCATAGGTGGCTATGCAACTGACGTTTCAAAATGAAACGATTATTAATTTATTATAAACTGTCAGTCCTCATACCGAAATGGGTTTATACTGCAGATAAAAAAGTAGATATATTCTAAATTTATGTAAAAAATGAATAAAAACAAGTAAGCGGCAAGAAGAGAATATAGGCTGATTTATCCTGATCGACAATCCTAGATTGAATCTATACTTCAATAATCAATTAAATCTATAATAACATTTTTATTTTAGAAAATTCCGAAACTAGTCTAAACAATCTGCTAATGCATTAGACTCATTAGAGAAAAGTCGTGCGACGATACATAGAGTTTTAAAAAAGCACAACTATTAGCCGTACAAAATATTACCGGTACAAGAACATACCGATGTTCATAACAGAAAGCGTTTACAGTTCTGTCAAGACATGCTTAAAAATTTGAACAATGATCCTAATTATTTTTATAACATTTTATGGACAGATGAATAAAATTTTTCAACTTCAAGCATCTTTAATAGAAGAAATAGGTATTCGTGGGAACAGAAAAATAATAGAAAAAGAAAAATTAAGCAAATAAAAAAGTCAGGAAGAAAATCAATAAATGTGTGGTGCGGAATATTTCAAAACAAAATAGTTGGACCATTGTTTTATGATTATAGATTAACTGGGGAATCATATTTGGACAGTCATTACACAAGTGGATGAGTTATTAAATCAAAATTATATACAAAATCAATTAAATAGTATGATATGGCAACAAGATGGAGCAACGCCACATAATGTCGTAGCCGTTCAAGAATATTTAAATAATCAATTTAATGTGTGGATCGGCAATACGGTTACCATACATGGCCACCAAATAGTCCCGACTTAACACCATGTGATAGCTTTTTATGGTGGTTTTTAAAAGAAAAAGTGTATTTTGATTCAAATACAAATATTAACACTATCACGGCAAAAGTTCCCGCGGAAATTGAAAATTTAACTGGTCATAATAACACAATATCTGAAGCATTAGAAAATTTGAGACGAAGATATCACTTGTGCATTGATAACAATGGCACTTTGAGCATCTATTGTAACTTAAATGTAGTATTGTAAGTCATTAATTTTGTTGACTTTCTAAATATATTTTTTTCTTATCTTAGAAAGCTAATGCTACTATCGGCGTATGGTACTACTATCTTATACTATCGCATACTGGCGTATGGTACTACTATCTTATAGTAGTACCATACGCCATTATAGAACAAAACTGATGCTACACTATGTTATATATTTGTAATCCGGAAATGCAGGGCTACTCAAAACTATAAAACCATACAGGGTGTCCCATTTGAAATATTGAAGATGCCTTTTATTGGGTACTTCCTGTATACAAAATTTTATCTGTTGCTACACTGTCGGTCGGTCGGTACAGATAACTTTTATTTGAAACTTTTTTTTTTGTATTCCCGAAATTAAGGAAAATAATTTGGGGGGTCAAAATATAATGAGAAACCCTGTATCTAAGACCTGAAGATGCATAGCAAATTATAGAAAGCAAAATCCGGTCGTTGGTGGTAGAATAAATTAATTGGGAGTAAGTCTTATTCTTATTTTTTTTTATCTATTTCACGTAGTCCTTTAACAAACTTAGATAAACTGTAGGGACTTAGATAAATATGGAAGTGACTATTGAATGGATGGATTAAACTGATTTGTTTACAAAATTCATTAAAGTTAAACCATTTTTGATCCAAAATTGAATTACTAACAAGCATTTTATCAATTTTATATTTCTTAACCGACAGTGTAGAGATCATACACGAACTGAATTTATAATATCGTGTATAAATAAATTACCTAGGCATAAAAAATTACAACGTTTGTCGAAGTTAAAGAAGCAAACAGTTGAGGATATATTCAAGAAATTCAAGCCACCCGAAATAGAAGTAGAAGAGGAGCCAGAACCGACAGCAGGACCTTCCAATATTAATGGAGGAGTAAGTGACGATGACATAGAAAGTAAAATTAAAGAAATTGTTGATACTTTACCGCATTTAGGAGATGGTAAGTTAGTAGTTATATCCAAATCAGCATAACTAGTGTGTATTTGCATATTATATTCGAAACTAAAGCACATAAGCTTTCAATTAAACAAATTCCAATCGACATTTCTTCTTTTGGCTGCATTTTTATTTTAACATCAGTAAAAACAGTAAATCAAGCCATGGACCTAGTAAACCCATGGGATCTTCTCCATTCTTCATTGTTTTCTGCATTTTTTTCCAAATCTTTATACAGTGAGTGAATAAGTGTCATTGTCCAATCAAAGGGTAAAGTTTTTGATTCCCAAATAAATAGAATAATGCTGTGAAGGTGCTTTATAGTGTCAAGATCGTAGAATTTTCACATTTAAACCATTATAAAAAGCATTATAAAAGCATTATAAAAAGCATTGTTACATATAAAAGTGAGGTATGGCCACTGAAAGGTAAAACTTAAAAGCATTAGAAGCAACAGAAATGAACTTCTGGAGAAGAGTGGCTGGAAAATCAAGATTATACAGAATTAGAAACGAAAGAATACGAGAAATTGTGGGTGTTAAGCAAAATATAATAGAGGACAACAAAATACATCAACTAAGATGGTATGGACACGTTCAAAGAATGGATGAACACAGAATACCAAGGAAACTTGAACTGAACACCGCATAGAAGAAGAAAGCAAGGTAGTCCGAGATTAAGTTCGAGAGAAGGAATCGCTAAAGAGTTAAGGGATAGGAGAGTAGAAGAAAACCTTTGGAACGACCGAGATAAATAGAGACTGGAAATCAGAAGACGGTCTAGTACGTTTTAGACTGATTGATTTGACCTTTAATTTGATTAATTTAACTTCTGTTAAACAGACTCTTGTTGCTTTCCTAATCCTCAACAATTTTCATCATTTTCAAAGGATTTTTTCATTCCATTCCATTGTTTCTATTTACAAGCTTTTTATTTGAATAACTAAAACGTAATAATTACATAAATAATTAGAATTTTTATATATTTCAGGTTTTGTGTTACAATGCCTCGAATCCTATAATTTTAATTCTGCTGAAGTAATTAATGCTATATTAGAAGAGAATCTGCCTCCGCATTTGTCCAACATTCCATTTGACCAAATTCGAATACCACCAGAACCAGAACCTGCGAAACCCGTGTTAGCTTATCACGGCAAGAAACCAGATTATGATGACACTTTGAAATTACTGAATGATAAGAGAGATTTCAAGGAAATCAAGTCTTTCGTATTGGAGGGAGTGTAAGTTAATTTTTCAGTTGCGCTTTGATCAACTATTCCAATTTCATTTTGAGCAAAATGTAAGTAACTATACAGGGTGTGCCACAAGTTTTTACAGGCTGTGTCTTCGAAACTACTTTGGCTGTATTGACCAAATCGTACTGGAGGGCACTCAGCATCAAATGTCCGAAAATCCTTTCATGGCATAATAATGAAAATAATCACTTCTTCTTCTTCAAGTTCCATCTTCTATCGAAGGTTTTTAACATTCCCTTAAGTTCTTAAGCCAGGATATTCTTCGTCTTCCCACATTTCGCTTTCCTCGGATTTTGCCCTGCATAATAAGTTGTAATAATGCGTATTTTTGCCCTCTCATCACATGTCCCAAGTACTCAAGTTTTCGTCTTTTAATAGTTAATATTATTTCCGCCTCATTTCCTATCCTTCTAGTTACTTCCATGTATGACATTCTTTGAATCCATGATATTCGTAGGATTCTTCTGTAACACCAAAATTCAAAGGCGGCCAGCTTATTCAGATGAACTTGTTTTAGTGTTCAAGCTTCCAGACCATAAAGAAGAGTAGAGAACACGTAACATCGAAGCATTCTCAGGCGTAGTTCTAACCTTATATCCCGACAACAAAGAAACTTTTTAAGTTTAATAAATGATGTACGTGCTATTTCAATACGTGTCCTAATTTCTTTGGTTTAGTCTACATCTGATGTTATCCATGTTCCTAAATATTTATAGTTATTAACATTCTCAATTGCAGTATCTTCAATAGTCAATTGGATATTTGCATGTGCAGATTTAGTCATGATCATGCATTTAGTTTTCTTTAAATTTATCTTCAGTCCGTACTCATGACAGCGTTCATTAAGGCGTTGTATTAGGTTCTGTAAATCATTGTTGTTATCCGTAATTATTACTGTATCGTCTGCAAAACGTAAGTTATTCAAAAATTCTCCATTGATAGATATACCTTCTATTGAGTCTGAGAGCGCTTCTTGAAATACCGCTTCACTGTAGACATTGAAAAGTAGTGAGGACAGCACGCAACCCTGGCGGACTCCTCTCTGTATTTTGATATTTTCGGTGTACTGGCTGTCAACTCTTACCTTGACAGTTTGATTCCAATATAAATTAGATATAATTTTCAGATCACGACTATCAATATTTTTGCTTTTTAATGTTGAACTTTGTCAAATTCCTTTTCAAAGTCTACAAAACATAGGTACATATCCTGATTCATGTCCATGCATCTCTGAGCCAGCACATTCAAGCCGAACAAAGCATCTCTTGTACTCATACCATTTCTAAAGCCAAATTGTGTGTCACTAATCTCATATTCAAGAGTTTTAACAATTCTGCTGTGAATTATTTTCAAAAATGTTTTAAGTGTGTGACTCATTAAAGCTATTGTTCTGTGGTCTGAGCAAGTTGTTGAACTTGGTTTTTTGGGAATTGCTACAAAGGTTGATTGCAGCCATTGTCTGGGGATTGTGTCAGTCTGATATATTAGATTAAAGAGTTCAACCATTACATCAATAACATCTTCATCGATGAGTTTTAATAATTCGATGGGCACCTCATCTGGTCCATTAGCTTTACCCTCTTTTTGTGTTTTTGATGGCATAGATGACTTCTTCTCTTAATATTGTTGGTCCAGTATCCTCGGTGATTTCTAATGACAGTTCTTCTCTTTCATCATTAAATAGTTGTTGAATGTAATTGGTCCAGTGACATAATCTCTCCTTCATATCCTTTATCATTTTTAAGGATATTCGTTTTTGTACGCTTTCTAGAACCTGTCATTTCTTTGATTTTTTTGTGTAAATTAAAGCTATCGTACTTTTTATCCAGATCTTCTATTTCCTTGCATCTATCGGAGAGCCACCTCTCTTTTGCCTCTCGAATTTTCTTTCTGATGTTTCTCTGAATTTCTTTGTATTTATTCAGGTCTTTTGCTTTATGTTTTCTTCGTTCTTCCATGAGTTCAAGAATTTCTACTGTCATCCAAGGTTTTGTTTTTTCTTTAAGTGGTTTGAGGGTTTCTTTTCCAACTGTTACAAGGGCATGTTGAATTTTTCCCCATTTTTGGTCAATAGTTAGAGTTTCTGTATTATCTTCTTTGACTTTCCTTAAGCTCTCGTTTATTTTAAATTTGGTTTCCACATATGTGTTGTCTTGTTTGAGACGTCTTGTATCTATGATTTTCTTGGTGCTAGGGCATAGGGCAAATAATCACTAATATAACAAAATTATACTGAAATGATAGTATAACCCGACAAGCGAGAGTTGGCGGGTTGCGCGTAGAAGAAATTGAAAAATGTTCACCGTTTAAGTCATGTACATCCTGTACATCGTGTATAACTGTTTAAGACCTATACTATATACCTATAATCGCGATTAAGTACCTCTCCTATCTCTCTTAAAATAATTCCTTTTCTATTTTCGAGCAGGTCACCCGCCAGCTCTCGCTTGTCGGATTATATCTCCGGAGTAAAATGTTCCGGAAGGAAATATGCTTTGTTCGGATTTTCGTTCAGCACTATTTCTTAGTGGTATTATTATACAGAGATGTAGTTGATAGATGTGCGTAAAAGAAGAGTCGTAAATATGTGCATTCGAGAGACGGTGTAGAAAGGACAAAGGAACGAAGAAATAGGTGATACAAGGATACAAATTGCTGATAGAGAAATGGAACAGAACATAGAAGTTATAAGGACTGATAGAATGTCAGTAGAAAAATGTCTCAGTGAAAGAACAATGCAAGCAAATGGAGGAAAAACCAACAGATCAGTACCATAAATGATGTAGATGGAAAACTATATTGCCAAGCCTTATTCGCTTTTGCAGCTTGGAGTCTTGCTTCATTTTTATTGTTGCTCGAGCTAGATATCACTACTCCTATATAATTAAATGGTCATTTATGTGTCATATTCAGGCTTGTACCTTTTGTGTTAAGCAAGAGTCTCTGAAGATCGTCTTTATTTCCGCTACAGCAACAGCATCGTCTGCATATCAGGTTTTTCACCTCCACATACTACTTTTAATGATATTAAATAGTAATGGGCTTCGTGAATCACCTTGTCTCATCCCATGGAATTTGTAAATTATCTTATCTATCTCTTCACCCAGCGAGAGCACTGGGTGAAGAGATAGATAAGAGCACATATATTTTTTGTCGCTAAATGTAATAATTGAAATTCGTTTTTAGACAATACACTAATAACTACCTGTACGATGATGAATATGACGATCGAGACTTTGATGATATACCCATTAAAGTGGCTGATAATCAACTCGAGAAAGAAATTCTTACATATAATCCAAATCATGAAGACGCGGCTAGCGATTCGAGCGAATCCGAAGAAAGTGATGAAAATCAAGCAAAGGGTGTTAGCAAGACCGCAGTAAATAGTAACCCAAGTGGTTCTGGAACTAATAGGTAAACCATATAATTTACAAATCATCAATACCTATTTTGTTAATTTTTTTTTAAACTAGTTATTGTAGAATTATATTTTTTTGTTGTAGGTCTAAAATGAACTTCTGTGAAGATCCTGCTCTAATTAGAGAAAGGCGAGAAGCCAGATTTAGGACACAACACAGACCGCCTCCAAAGGGAAACGTTGTTGGAAAGGCGAAAGGTCAAGGTCAAGAGAAAGACGTTTTGAAGGCTAGGGACAAGAAGACCGTCAACAAATCATCTAGAGCTAACCATAATAGAAAAGGTGGAGCTCAGTGGAAGCGAAATAAAGGAATGATTCCCATGTAATGATCACTATGGGGAAACGTCTTATGAATATTTCATACAGTTAATATCAAATGTTGGAAGTATAAAAAGCGAAGAGTTAAAAATGTTAAGTTTGTAATTTTTATACTTATAAATGTTCAATAAGTTCTTTTTTATCCTTCCTTATTATTTTTATACTTAGATGCCTACTTAATTATTAGCTTGGCCTCAATGTATATGTTTTATCTTAACTATTATGTTACTATGCTTAATATCTAAGCAAGTTCGTAGCAAATATGCTCCGTATGTTAGGTGCTTTCTACCAACGATCTGAACAACTTGTTCTTCTTTTGATTTGACTTTTATCCCTTAGTAGGGAATGTAAATTTATTGTTATAGCTTGATCTCTTCCTATTTTATTTTGTATATTTGTTATCCCTTCCATCTTCATTTAACTGAAATCCTAAGTATTGGCAACATTCTAATGTTATCATGTTCTAATGTCCTTTGCATCAGTTTTTATATTTTTTGCATCATGGTTTGCTAGTTCGAGATACTAAGTTTTCTTAGCATAATGTCCAAACCTCATTTTGAGTATTCTTCAAGGAATTTCCGTATCATATAGTTTGCATCGTTATTCCCATCTTCACCAATGGCTTGTTAACGAAATACTAGTTAAATTAAATAAACTGTTATATTTGAGTTTGCATAATTGTTTTTTACGGGTTTTATTGATAATTCAAACTGGGCAACGCGCTGCGATAATATTCAAAATCAGGATACATTTTGTATCAGGATAGCAAGCGCATTGACAATATTCCACTCCTCAAGTAATCACTGCCTTTTATTATAGCTACAGCAATAAAACAACTGTTTTTTAGCACTGACTGAGTAAAAGATTTTTAAACCTATGAGTAGGGTCCTTGCTAGTTGATTCATATTCTTCCAATGTATATTAAAGAAATGCAATTCCACTTTTGTTTACTTTTTGGAGATTACTTCATAGACATATAATACAAATAGAGTAAGAGCTGCAATCCAGACCCATTCCTCCAGTACGACAGAAGAACTGACGCAAAATAATGGCTGCATCTCGGTAGGGCGGAGTTTATTGTCCACGTGACCTTTCCAATCCAAATACAAGTGAAGGGAAGGTCACGTGGTCGATAAACTCCGCCCTGCCAAGATGCAGCGACTGCTTTACGTCAGTTTTCTCCTCCTCACTGAGGAAACAGGGAACGGATCTATATTGCAGGGCTCCGTCTATTTGTATTTTGTATCACTATGGATTCTTTATAAATACCAATATCTCTAATACATAGTTCCTTAAATAATAATACAAGAGCAAACAGTAAGTTTTAATAAGGCTGAATGAGATTTTAAATGAGCATAGTAATTTTTTTTATGAGTATAGGTAATACAACATTATGAAAAATCTTTTATTATTATATATAATAGGAAATTTCTGTATTTCTTATAAGCTTTTACAATAATTTGACATTAGTTAAATTTTGTAACGTTTCTATTAAATGTGTTAATACTTGACTATGTTGAAAAGGTATTTAAAAATATGTAATGATAAACTTCCAACATTTTAAAGAACATTGTTATTGCGAACCAATGCAATATTTCCATTTTTTGTTTAAAATAAAGATTTATTTTTAACACGTTTATTATTCCACTCTAAAACCTTTTACTTTTTACAACAGACATTTTAAAGCTTAGCTGCGAGTTTTTATTAAATGAATGTATTATAATATCAGATTGTCTTGCGCATATTATGTATAACAATGAACAAGAATTTCTTACGAAATATTGAACCTGTTAAGAGCCTTACCCAGAAGTCATCTTCTTACTTATATCTTCCCAACTTATAACTTGGAAAGTAATTCTGTATCAGACAATAAAACCATTTTATTAATAAAAGTTTATTTAAAATCGGTTGAGTTTACCGAAAGGACAAGCTGAATATAGCCGCAAATGTCAACCATGGAAAAACTATTTCGGTTTGGCCACCGAGTTTAGCGGCGCTGGCATGTTTTTATAATCTATACTATGTTGTATGCTTCAAATATAAAGAAATAAAGCTTTAGAAAAATACATTTTGATAATATTGTGTTATGAATTCTGCATTTTTTAAATGATGTAAAACAAAAACGAGTAAATAATATTTGTTTCTTTAAAGATTAATTGCAGTTAATTTTTAGAATTTTTTTTTGCAATTGCCCTTTTATAGATTAGACAATCGCCAAACCATCAGTTGGCAGATGTTTGCAATTAATCTCGAAAGAGAAAATATTTACTGGGTATTATTTTATATCATTTAAAAATTGCAGAATCATAACAAAATTGTTAAGATGAAGTACTTCCTGCGAGTGAAGATGACTTTCCACCTCATTTGAGTGAATATATGAGATATAATTCTGTGTTGTCAAACTCTGAACGTTCGAATGCATCACGAAATTTCGTGAAGTGATCGAAGATCAACTAAAATGTGAGAAGAGTTCCTGGACAAGAATCAAGCCATTTCTTTGAAGACAACGAATAAAAAATCCTGCAGCCAATGTTACATACAAATTTATACACAATATTTATTATTGGTACAGAAATAAACAAAAAAGACCCTATTCGGAACTCTGACAAATTCAGGCATATGAATAGAAATCTATACCTTTTCTGCAGAGATTTCGGCGTCTTTTTTTAATTATTAACAATTTAGCGTAAAAATTTTTCGATTTTTTGATTACCATAAAAAAGTTTAATATTTGAGGTAAAATTACAGAACTTTATCTTAAAAGAGCTTTAAAATCGCCATTGCTAAAAGTTGTAAAATTAATTTGTTGCTTCGAAAATTTCAAAATCGTTAATTGTTGATAACTATTATAAAAATTAACCTAGATATTTGTTATTGCGCCCAAAGTTGTGTATTGTGGTCCTTAACAAACCCTCAAACTTTCAGATATTTCAAATGTCGATCAATTGATAAGTTTTGTTATTAGAATGGGCATCTATTAAAATAAAAAGATAGCGCCGTACTCAAGTACATCAACTGCCTCCGTGGCGCAATTGGCTAGCGCGTTCGGCTGTTAACCGAAAGGTTGGTGGTTCGAGCCCACCCGGGGGCGCAATTTTTTGAGAGAAAAAATTAATTGTAAGAATTGTGGACAAGATAATATATTCTAAGAGATTACATAAAATATAGAATAATATATAGTACTTCCTCAATTTGTTTATTTCTGAATAAAAAAAAACGAACGAAACGATCAAGATACTATTAATGAAGACTTGTGCCGTGCATTAATCTCTTTCAATATACCGCTTTCAAAAAAATTATCCAATGAAAACTTAACTTCTTTTTTTTTTTTAAATATTGTAAATTGAATATTCCAAGTGAAAGGACTCTAAAGAGAAACCATGTCAAGTCGTTGTACTCGTCAGTGACAGTTAATATTAGTGACAATTACTTCTACGTGTGTGTTTACAAAACCACTGATTTATCAAGAAGATATATCGCTCATTTAATGATTGGTGTTCGATTAAGCGATCAGATCTTACCAAAATTCTACTTAATTTCATGCAAACTATTAAAAAAAAACAACTCACGTTTTGTAAAAGAAGTATAAAAATGTTTTCTTCCTACAGCTGTTCCTAGACATAAATTATTGATTTTTTTTATCAGATGCTGCATTATATATGGCCAAGGCAGAAAAAAATTTAAAAATATTTGACACCAACTTAATACACGTTACACTTTTCGCACATGAAATGAACAGAGTTGCGGAAGAAAGAAAAAAGTTTCCTTTTGTAAACCCCTGATATCGAGAATAAAAAAGTATTCCTCAAATCTCCTATAATAATTCAACTTTATAGAGAAATGCTTCCAAATATTCCACCTCCTTCTTCTTCAAGTGATATCTTCGTTCCGAAGGTTGGCGATCATCAGGGCTATACGTATTTTCGAAACAATTCGTTGTTGCTACAGCTATAACATTCCCGTAGATTCTTTAGCCAGGAGTTTCGTCTTCTTCCTATGGACCTTTTTCCTACTATTTTTCCTTGCATAATAATTCGAAGCAGTTCATATCTTTCGCCTCTTGTAATGTGTCCCAAGTATTGCAGTTTTCGTTTTTTGATCGTAAATTCCACCTCCACTAGAACCTTTTTGCCGTTTGTGAATTATACAATGGGTCGAGTTTAAGTTATCGATGAGAAAATTTGTTCAATGATTATTAAATTTTTTTTTATGAAGATATTGAGTATATGACTCAATTGAAAAGGTGGGTGGAACACTATAAACAACTACTTATTATCGAAGTAGAAGATCCAAATCGACCACCCCAGGAGTAAACAACAATACACCACTGGAACCTCCATCAATTCAAGAAGTACGGGATGCAATAAAACACCTAAAAAATAATAAATCTACAGGAAGTGATGGCATACCAGCGAAACTTATTAAATGTGGAGGTGCACTCTGACTAGTCATATACATAAAATCATACTGAGAGCCTCGAATGAGGAACAAATCCCGAAAGAGTGGTGTATTGGGATCGTTTGCCCGCTACACAAAAAGGGTGATCAATTGGAATGTAGAAACTATAGGGGAATAACCCTCCTTAATACAGCATACAAAATATTTTCGAGTATTTTATATAGTCGCCTGAGTGCATATTCAGAGGAGCTTTTTGGCGAATATCAAAGTGGTTTTAGGCCTGGTCGATCAACAACAGACCAGATCTTTGTGCTAAGGCAAATACTGGAAAAAACAATGAATTCAATATCGACACATACCTACCATCTTTTCATCATCATCATTAATGGCGCTACAACTCTTCGTGAGTCTTTGCCGCGTTTACTATTGCCTTCCATGTTTATCGGTCCTGTGCCAGTAATTCCCATTGTCGCACTCCGTCTCCTGGCGTGTCTCCTTTTCAACATAGCTCTGGAAAAGGCGGTCAGGAATGCCCAAATAGACAACAGATAAAACTTTTTAATAAATCATCCCAAATTTTGGCATATGCAGATGATGTTCTGATGAAATTCACATACTTAGGCTCCCTGATCACCAAGGATGGATTGAAAACCATGGCATTCCACTTCTGGATTGTGTTTTTAACAGTCCAAACTTGCCCCCGATATAGGCTTTGTGGAGCGAAATGAAAAAAGCTTTGAGAAAACATCCTGCCAGGTCCATCAACGAATTGATGAAAAATTGCAAGAAATATTTGATTTGTTTACATTAGAATTTTGCCAGAACTTAATATGAACTATACCTCGAAGGCGATGTAACTCAGTTGTAAACTTTCACATTTTTTTTGTTAAGGCTGTTTTATCGGTACACCAAAATTTTTTCTGTTATTTACCGACGAAATTTCTCGAAATTTGGACATGTTATACGAAATTATGTTGCCTTTAAACTGATGGTTTTACTTTTTTTATTTTTTTGAATTTTCTGTTGAAAAATTGGATTATACTGTTTAACGTTCTATTATAACCAAACTTTTCACGCCCATCAGTTGAAAGAGTTTTTTTTCTGTAATCGTTGATTCTTTTTTCACCTTTCTGTGTCCAGTAATAATCGAGAAAAGCGTATTCAAACTTTGAAGAAAATTGCTAAAAAATACTGAAATCTACTAGTGAACGTGTTCCTCATCATTGTTGCTGAGCTTGATCGTTATCGCATTAGTGACGTCAAATCTCA